CATCACCTGAGCACGTGGTGGAGGAGAAATTTCTATTATCTTATTGGCTAACATGTGATTTGGAGGCGTGGCTTCTTTGATGTCTCACCCAGGCGCGACTGCCGAACTTTGAACTTTAACTTTGTTTACGCCGCGAGTTCTGAAAGTCAAACATGGAGTCTGAAAATTGGTAGACATTTTAACGAAATTTCAACAGAAAGGAACATCAAAATGAGTGCATACTATTGCAAATTAACTTCGTGTAGGTAAATAAGGTTCTTTACAGGCCTGTTGCGCTATTTATATTGGTGGTTTTTGTATTAATTTTTGTACAGCATTGATTGAAGTAGCCGGCGAAAACATCGTAGTAGCCGATCGAATGCGCCGGCCGCCGGCTCTTAAATAAACCCCTGTGTAAATTTCATTTGGACAGAACATGAGAAATGGTAGTAAATAGTAAAAGATATCAAAGGTATTTGTTGTCATATTGCGCCCTCTTGAGTAACGATAGATTTAAATATTATTAGGTACACCTGGCATGCTGTATATAAGCTGTGCTTTCTTAACAAAGGCGGTCAATTTGAGTCGCGTATCTGAGTATAGCAGAAATAAAGTTCTTGATGTTTTGGATATCATTGTGTACTATATTTATATTCGTGTCAAGGACACTACAGTATTGGGTCTTACCCTGTTTAACTCTTCGTCATTAAGATCACAAACGACTGCCTTTATTCCATTTGAGGGCCCTTTGAGCATTCTGTTTTGCAAACCTCGCCTGTTGTCAGATCTCATGTTAACCACTTGTGTCACAATTGTTTCGGTGTTCTCATCGTTCTGTCGAGAGAGAAAAAAAGTGAAATGTGCGCATAACATCAAGCCATCTTACGTACCTAAATTAATTTTGTCATTAATTATTCATAGAATACAATATTTATGCCGTATGTATACATTTTGCATTCTTTTAATTAAAAAACCTCTATATTAATATGAATTTACAACTCACGTTAATGATAATGACATAATTTTGGTTTCCATCCAAACTGCCACGGTAAAGTGGGGCCATTCCAGGGCTGTTGTCAGACGCGATACTCGTGCAATCAGGGGGACTTGGGGTAGGGGTATTCGGGATAGGGGTATTCGAGGTAGGGGTATTCGAGGTAGGGGTATTCGGGGTAGGACGTGGTCGAGGGCGCGGACGCCCGGGCCGACCTCTAGGCGGCAGACTAGGACGTGGCCGGTTGCGTCTCCTCGTTGGCAATGAATTCACTTGGTTAGGCATTGTGAATATTAACACAGCTCCAATTAGACCGATAACTACCAACAACTTCATAGTAATATGTTCCTTGTTCCTTGCATAGACCGACTAAATGAATCAAACTATGTGGATTGATTTATATCAGGTCAGAGTTGCTCTCAACTAATCAGAAGCCTGCATTTGACATCACGTGACCTTAATTTACATAAAATGACTATTTCATTTATGAGTAGGGGTGTTTAAACGATTATTATTTATTTTTAGTACAGTGGTGTTTAACCCTAACCCTATTCTATTTTTAGTACAGGGGTGTTTTAACCCTAACCCTATTCCATTTTTAGTACAGGGGTGTTTAACCCTAACCCTATTCCATTTTTAGTACAGGGGTGTTTAACCCTAACCCTATTCCATTTTTTTGAGCATGGTGTTTAACCCTATTTCATTGTTAGAGCAGAGTACTTAACCCCAACTATATTATATTTTTAGTGTAGGGGTTTTTAACCCTAACCCTATTTCATTGTGTACAACAGTACTTTACCCAACCCTATTAAATTTTTAGAACAGGTGAGTTTAGCCCTAATTATTTCAAACATGACTACATGTGTCAAGCCACCCCTGTCGAAATGTCACACATATCACAGAGTTTTAAAAAAAAGTATAGTGACGTAGGAAAAGTCACTTTCTCTGATTACATCAGAAAGTCACCCAACAATGGATTATACCATTGTTAGGTGGGGTGCACAATGGGGTGTTTTTTTTATGTTAGTCTACAATAGGTTTTGGCTTAGTGCTAAAAGTTTTTTGTGTCAGACCTCTTGTATGTATTATGAATTAAAAACCTGGGTGTAGCCTACCTAGGCATAAACATGATTTAGTACTCCAAATGCAAACATCATCAATTCATTTTTTTGTTTCCATTAATTAAATTAAAAGTGAAGTAATTTTCACTGCTCTTTGATACTTTTACAGTTTTTTCACTGTTTTCACTTTCTTTTATTGCAAACAACACAAAGATTAAAGTAACATGTTTAAGGAATTACAACATTTTATTCATTCTTTTGCTTTCTTCTTTTCTTTACAAAGAACATAAATACAGTATTAAATATCACAACATAGGCCTATTTGATTACAAAAAATAAGTAACATTTTTTTGTAATTTCAAAATCAACTACAATATTATTGTCTTTTCTTTATCACAAATGACATTACAGTAATTAGCTATGTACAATAGGCCTACTATAAAGATATAATAATCACTTTCTTTTTTTGCAAACAACATAAGATTAAATTACCACAACATGTTTAAGGAATTTTGTCCGTTTCACAAAATGACATTATCTATGAATTTATTATCTATACGCAGGCTATACGTATGTACAATACAATAAAGTTACATTTACTTAACTGTCATTGTATACAGTATATTATAACAATTTAAAAACTTTCGAAATTTCAACTTAAATCTTATGAACTATTATATAAAAATTAGTCAAAACATAAGATAAAATTATTATTATTATTTATATATATTCCCATATATACATAGTCAGAATATACAAATTTAAAATAGTTTTAGGCTACATAAACTTTCACACATTTTATTAAGTTACAGCATTCCCTTCCCTACTAATATTTTGCTTATAAGCCTAAAATAGAATGTACAATAGGCCTACTTAAAACATTTTTTATTGGAAGTTTTTTTATCAAATCATATTTTACAATATTTTTGTATTACATTCTCCTATCTAAAGAAATAAATTCAAGAAGGTTTTTATTGGCCAAACATAGTTGTTGCAATAATAATAATAATAAACAGGCCTAGATGTGTGTCATTTGATAAAGAAAGGGAAATAATATGTTATTTAAAAAAAGTAATTCAAGAAATTTCCAATAAAAATATGGTCACAATGGTAAATTTAAACTTAAAGAACAGTAAATAATTATCTTATAACGTATTATGTATATATTGGGCTATTTCATGCGAAAGTGGAATTGTATACAGATGATTTTGCTTAATAGTAAATAAGTAAATATATATTTGTCACTGGTAATAATTTTTTGTTAAGCATTTTTCACCTAAATATTTTTCCGAACATATCCGGGGATAAGATTATAAACTTTTTTTGGGGTAAATAATATTGTTTTCTTTCAATAATATGGGTTTATTCAGTAGTATTAGGCCTACAATTTGAACAAAAACAGTTATATTCATGAATGATTTTTATATCATTTTATATTTAACTGATATGGTCTTTCAGAAATAACGAAATAACAACCATATATTATAAATCCCATCAATGTATTTTTTGATTAAAGTTTTTGAGAAATCACAATTAATTATTAAACTAAAAAAAATAAAGGTGAATAAGTAGAATAGTGCCTTTATGTTACATGGCCAGACAAACTTAATTTTCACAACCTGTAGAATGAGTTACTGTAGCATGGGTTACTATATTTTAGGTAAGTCATGGTAAAATCATGATTGAGATGTATTACTTTTTTGTTCCATAATTATGAACATTAACATACTGTAGTAGTTACCTGCTATGTTCTGTTACTTTTGATATGTTAAAGAATAATGAAACGTGAAATATCACTGAAAAAGAAAATAATAGTCATTGCATTCTACAGGTATCACACAACCTGATAAAATAATTATTTATACAGCATATATCAATAGTAATGAAAGGATAAATAATATTACAAAATTATTATGGAATAAAAAAAGAAAGCGAGAAATAAAATATAGTCATTGCTTTATACAAGTATCACAAAAACCTGATATAATAACTATAATGTAATATTTATCAATAGTACTGAAGGTATTGTAAAAACAAACAAATAAAATATCACATAAAATTATTTAAAGTTATTATATAGCTCTTTATAGCAAATCCCTTTATATCAAGAATATATTTAGTAATGAATAGTAAATATTTATTTGTGAATAATTGTCATATCAATACACTGGAAGTGAAAATATTCTAAATTTTTACGTTACTTTATTTTAATAAATAAATGCTAATAGTAAATAAAGTAAATAAATACTGTAATAAATAAATATATATTTGTCATTGGTAACAAAGAAGAAAGGAAACTAATATTTATTTATTGTTTGTAATAAAATAAGAAAAGTGAGAAAGATGAAATGACACTGAAAAAAAGAGTAAATGAAATGTTGACTGTAAAAAAAAATATTTACTAGAAACAACTCAATTGCATAATTAAGAGAAGCTATCCAGTTTTGCATTTGGAGTACTAAATGTTTATGCCTAGGTAGGATACACCCAGTTTGTAATTCATAATACTACACAAAAGAATAAAAGAGGTCTGACAAAAAAACTCCTAGCACTACAGCCAAAACCTATTGTAGACTAACATCAAGACAAACAACCCATTGTGCACCCACCTTACAATGTAATTCATTGTTGGGTGGCTTTCGACAGGGGTGGCTTTCTTCCGATTTTCAAATAACCTAACCCTAGCTAAATTCAAAACTCCTACCAGTATTATGTTCTGAATAAAATCGATTAAATGCAGTAGGTATAGACAAGTCTTTGGAACAAAAGAGGACCATCTATTGTGTAATCAGTTTCCTTGTCATAATTGTCTTATAGGATAAGCCAAACAGTGACGTCATGTTCAACGAGGCTGAACTTGCTGTGTTGTAAAAACGCTGTCGGTTGTTACATTTTGTAGATTTCTTTATTAAAAACTATTATTGGAATTTAGGAATAATGTTTTATAGTAAAGGCTGTCCTCATGTGCTAGTTTGGCAGAGCTATATGCTGCTTCTTTTTCTGCATTTTAGTTGGTTGTGTGATATTTTATTCTTTCAATAGTTGATTTTGCTGAGATGAAGGTTCTTCTGCTTTTTAGTTGTTTGTGGGCTATTTTTTGTATATGACAAATTTTTGCTATGATATTTGGACGAGTATATTCGCTAGTATTGGGTGCTGAATAAATTCAATCAACTGTAGTGGGTCAGTCGACAAGTCTTTGTAGTAGTGTTTTAGGGGAAGAAAGGGCCATCTACATGTGCTTTACATTCTTTATTTTTTTGTAGGTCTTTTTTTAGATTTCTTTATTAAAACCTACATTGGAATTAAATAATATTGTTTGATATGTAGTAAAGTCATCACTGACTTCAAACTTAAGGTAAACACTGCAGAGCTGTGATGGTTTTTTCCTCTGGTTTTTAGCTGGTCATTGGCCATTAATTAATTCAGTTTACTGTATTATTTTTTTGTATGCTATAAATGACACAGTTTTGCTGTACATAATCGGACAGTAGCGCTGGTATTGCGTGCTGAATAAAATCATGTATAAAATCGAACAAATGCAACAGGCTTAGATAAGGTCTTTTTGTTAATCTTTTGAAACAACAGAGGACTAGCTATCGTGTAGCTTTTTAGTTTTTATTTGGAATGACTTTTATTACTGTGGCACACATTCAAAATGATGGTGCATCCAAAAGACCAAAATCAACTACGAAAATCATTACGGAACAAATGGTTCGGTAAATAAAGCCAAATGGCAACGTTCCATCAAACAAATTAATTATAAATAATAATAATAATAATAATAATAATAATAATAATAATAATAATAATAATAATAATAATAATAATAATAATAATAATAATAATAATAATAATAAAAATAATAATAATAATAATAATAATGATAATAATAATAAAGATAAAAAATTAAAATTAAAAAAAAGCAACTTAAAAATATTGGTGGTGCTTAGGTATTAATGTTCTTATAGATATCAGTTTCCGTTTGTCATAATTGTATTATCATAGTGACGTCCTGTTGCACGTGTCTGAACTTACGGTACTATGTTGTAAAAACGCAAGCGGTTGTTGAATTTTTAGACCCTATTTTGGAATTATAATAGCCTGTCGTCACCACTGGCTTCAAAGTGAAGGTAAACAGAGCTGTGACAATGGTTCCTTTACTTTTTAGTCGATGAGCCATTTATTTTGTTTATTTTTTTGCATAGGCCTAATATAAATGACTAAGTTCCACTGTAGGATATTGGACGAGTACATATTTTCGGTGGTATTGTGTGCTGAATAAAACGTATTTAGTTCAAGTGTAGTACCAAATTAAAAATTGTCTAACCCCTAACTAAATTCATAAACCTCACTTTGACTATTTCCTAACTATGATGTACTAGTATTATAGTTTGCCTATTATTTTCTGAATAAAATCAATCAACTGCAATTAGGCCTATAGGTCTACACATGTCTTCGTATTATTCGTTTGGAACAAAAGAGGGCCAGTTATTGTGTGGTGAAAAAAGATAATTCAGGAAAGTGACGGCATTTTGAACGTGTCTGAACTAGTATGAATGGATTTCAGTGGTTGTTTTTACATTATATATATATATATATATATATATATATATACTGTCTCTTATATACATCTAGATGTGTATAAGAGACAGACTTATACCTGTATCAAGTTTTTTAAAGAAGACTAAGCCCTCGTTCAGTTAAAAAAAAAAACACAAACACACCCCTTAAAAGACAAATGGGGAAAACCCATAAAACAGCAAACGGCCACATAATGCAAAACTATTTAAAATTAAAACGGAACAGTAGAGAAAATCCGATCAGAATGACAAAATAAACTCAGCATCCACTGGAAGGAATCCCAATATCTGCAGACGGATCCGTTTCGGCCTTCCAGGCCTCATCAGTGCAGCTAGGGTATTCGACCCAAACGAAACGTTCGTCCAGCTTAGGTAGGGCCCAAACTAGTCCCACGACCACTAATGATTACAGAGCCAAACCAATATATATACACAGCCCATGTGTTAATGCAAAATTTTAATTTTAAATAATTTTGCATTTTGGTTAAGCCAAGCAATGTGTAATGATTTTATTTGGGATCTAAAGTCTGGGGCTTTTAAACCACCATGTTCATAATCATTGATTAAAATTAGCCTTTTATTTTCTCAATTTGTTTATCCCAAAAAATTCATAAATAATACTCTCAACATCTTTTATAACAGACTCGGGTGTGTCTCGCATTATAGACAAGTTTTGATAGCCCAAGCGATTTTAAAATTGTAATTTTACCGAAAAAGGTTAAGTTTCTTTTTCTCCATGAGTTTAGAGTAAAACAATGTTACGTGATTTTTCGACGAAATGCAGACATAATAATTTGAAGACGTGATAGTTCAAAGCTGGTAACCTATTATATGTTATTTATATAAGATTTTATACTACATTTAACATTATCTGGCGATAGTAGTTGTGAGGCAATTTTCGTTACTACATTAGCTGTTAAGCGTTCTATAGCTGGGGTTGATTTTCTTTTTACTACATAAGCTGTTGGTGTTTCTACATTAGCGGGGAGTTTTACTAAGCTGTGGAGTGTGCTACATCAACGGTTGTTACTACATTAGCTGTTGATTTCTACATTAGCGGTTGTAAGAGGGCTCCTTTTTTATTATGAATAGCGGACCCTTTTTATTATGACTAGCGAACCTTTTTTTCTATGACTATATAGCGACATCTTTTATTATGATTATTAATATTATAGGTCAATGAATAAAAAAAAAATACGTATAGCGATAGCATATTGGTGTTTAATTGTAATGTTATATCTGGGCGATCTTTCGTTCTACTATTATTCAGATGTGTAACATTTCTTCATAAAATACGTCTTTGAAAGTCACTACCCCTATAACATTATGCAACCGGATACAGTTTTATAAGCATTTCCAATTAATGTAGGGACTATATTTCTTAATTAATAATAATCTTAGTGCCAGTAAGTGCCTTGTGGTCAGTTAATTTTGATCAGGCAATATAAAGTAATGTCAATTGTTTAATAGTATTCCAAAACAAAATAGGTTTTTAGGCTTCTCTGATTTTTAGATATAATGTCATATACTTTTGTAAGTCTTTGAAAAAATATCGGGCATTTTCCCCAATATATTACACATAATCACCTAGGCCTATGTGTTCATTGTATAATTATGTGTGTTTAAATATTGTAAATACAAAAATTCCTTTGCCAGATTTTGGGTGGTTATTTCTTGTTATTATATTTTAGATATCAAAATATTTCTATCTAGCATTTTATCTATTGATTTCAATCAAACATTGAATAATGAAGGTAAGTTCATAAGTCATCAAATATGAGCACTATATAATTGTATTGTACTGTATATAGTTTATTTGGTGTATTATGTATTATTTCTAATGATGCTTAGCGAAACGTAGAATAAAATGGCCTTACGGTCAATTTTTGTTTTGGAGTGACATTCTTATTATTTATACTTAAACTCAGTGCACCCTAAGGTGTTGCATTATTCTATAAACTTCCTATTGCAGTAAATATAGAATTATGGATTAGTTTCCAAACAACTTTGACAATGTGTTCTCTTGATGTTCTGTATGTTTATGCAAAAATGATTGATAGGCACAATAATGATTATTGTAAGTTAATATAGACATATTCTAATGGGGCTGAAATAACGTACCAGTAATTCTATTTAAATTATCTCCCATATTTTGTTTTACAGCCAACGCTTACTTGCAACGTATGTAACAAAGTTTTCCAAACCCGCTTCAACTACAATCGAGACCTTTCCCGTCATACTGATGTCAACCAACATCAATAGAAACTGGGGATTAGCTCCAACCCTATGAGCCCTAGTGGCTCGGAAAAGATTTACTGTAGTTAGTAAGATTCGATAACGTTTTATCGTGTATAAGATAAAAAAAAAATATTTTCACAAATCAAATAAAATGACGCCATATTATTGTGGGAAAATGATAAAATATTATTTATCGTTTTCCCATGATTATGACGTCATTTGACTTGATTTGTGAAAATATTTTTTATACTATGCACGATAAAACGTTATCGAATCTTGCTAGTGTGAATACTTCTCTTATTTCTTTTATTTTCTATTTTTATCGTTAATCGTTATCGTCGTAGTGTGAACAGGGCTTTATACCCTAATCTGAGAAATCACCTCCCCCTACATTTCGACATCCTTGGATAAAAACTTGGTACAAAAAAGTCACTAAAATGTCAATTTAAAAAATAATTTAATGGAACATCAACAAAAAGTATAAAATTTTAAATCAATATAATCCAAATCTATAACTAATTTTTGAGTAAAAAAACCCCCAGAGAACTTTTTAAATTGATTAACCAAGTCTCACCTAAGATAGCATGAGATAACCCAATAAGAATAGCAATGTAAACTAACATTGTATTACAAATGATGTTTATAAGAAAAATACTACACAAATCCAGAGCAACAACTAAGCTGATTGAAGTGAACTGTTTCATTGTCAGTAATCATACACTGTATTCCCAAGATGTTCAATTATATTGATTCCAGGCAGTCCTTTACTGTAGCATGGAGGAAATATCCTCCATGACTGTAGTAACTTGGTGTAGAGCTAGCATACATACTAGTGTACTGTACTCACATGGTCAAATAATTGCAGGACACAACCTTGTAGTCGGTACAGCATACCATGAAGGAATGGTTGGTACAGTACATGATCAAATATACCGATTGCAGGAGGGCACAACCCTGGTGTTGCTATAGCAGCAGAGAATACATTATAAAATAATTACACATACTAAAAGCAAATGACTTTTTTATATCTTATCCAAATAATGGTAATAGTTAGATTTAAGAAACTCATTACAATTTATTCTCTATTCATTACAATTCAGTTGTTAATATACAAATACTTAAGTAGATAAAAGTTGTGTATGTTGATATGCTGTCATGAATGCAACATAACTGTGTGGAAAAAAACACATACCTACAAAATCCTCATTTATAAATAAAAGAAATATGCAACTCTTACTCACTCTTTCATCTATTCACTTGTAATCACATCCCAAAGACAAAAAGGCCAAGCGATGTTTATGTCCATGCATTATTTAGCTGGTATAATGGTAGCCAATGGTTAAAATCTATGGGCAAGGTATCTAATTACTTAATAGAAGTTTGAAAAGGCATTTTTTTTATATTATACCAGTATATTGAACTCATCTTATAGAAAAAGTATATATATTAAAAAAAAAAAAAAAACATTTTTAATCAATCATGTTGGGCAACACAAACCCTTTTTTGACCTAAATCAATGCCATAAGTAAATAAATTGAATAAAAAGGCACATTATATATATACTGTATATATATATTAATGAATTAAATGATAAGGTGGTGGAGACAGGATGGGGGATCGGAGAGGAGTAACATGTGGCAGCGGTAAATTATGAGGGAGGAAAGCGAGAAGAGTAAGGAGGGAGCAACTGGAGAGAAAATTGATCATATCAAATATAAAAAGGCCAAACAGTACCTAAAATTTAGTATCATAGCAAGTTCATTACATTACATTTAAATTACAAATATACAGTATATTTCAAAAACGTTAAGTTTCTTATGAATATAATAAAATGCCATCTCAAATCTGTACACTCATTATATATTTTTTTCAGTACCAAAGCTATTAAAAATTTCTTGTAAAAATGAATGCTGATTTAAATACCTGAAATGTTACATGTTATACATTTTCTCATCATTTTCACAAGAATATACAATATAGGCCAATGCTAGGGGAGGAGGTCAACTGTGTATATACTCTCTTTAAAAAAATAAAATAATGATGATGGCCGCAAAAAAGAGTTATGTTTTGAACTCCCTTGAAAATTATAAAAATATGAATGACCCCATAACTCACTTATTAAATGGAATTTAACATCTGCAAGGCAGATTATTCAATTTTCTTGTAATAAAGAAAATTAATATTATAAAGAAATATGTAAGATTTTTCTCTATTAAGAGATATAAGATTCACTCATTCTAGTTTATCAAGATTCACCTTATACATAAAAAATAGGTACTTGCTAATCTACTAATAATTATAATATCAACAATAATAATAATAATAACATAACAATAACATGAAATTTATATAGCACCTAATCCACCTTGAATATATAGAGTAGGCTTGCAGTGCTTATTTCACAGTGCAGATGTTAACAAGTCTGCACTGAAAAAACATTTTGCTCATTAAGATTTAACCATACAAATTGAGTGTACATTGCTCTTTCTATATGGCATCATAATTAAATTGTTTTGTTTATAACATGTATACTTTCCCCTATAAATAATATACATTGTTATATTGTACACCATCCACACACAAAAAAATGTTACAAAGGACATGAGCTATATATTACACAGGCTCCCCAAGCTATTACTGAATAACAAGATACAGTTGTCTTCACCCAAGTAAGTACAAACCTTGCTAAACAACTGATATACAGTGTTAAACAGATTTTACATGCGACACATGCTCACCTCACCTACGCATTCGTATGAACGAAATGTGCAGGTGACGTTAGCAAGTCATCCCTAGCTTGGAAGGCATGTAACATTTTTCTGTACAGTGAATCGGCTATTGCAGTTTCACTCAATCTTAATGAAGTAATTATCTATTTAAAAGATTGTCTATTGCTTTAATAAATATTTTAAATTTTTGATGGAAAAAAATGTTTTTCCTTAATTCTTTGGAGTACAGCATCCTTTTTGGAAACATAATTTCTTTAAATGTTTTCACTACAAATTATAAAATCTGAAAAAATAATGAAATTTCATTACCAGTCTTTATATGAGAACATACGAGGTTTTTCAAGATAACAATCCATGTCTTCAGGAAATACTGTATTTCATTTCTTAAGGATCTAATTTCTTGAAAGACAACAATCTCATTCTTGGTGAGATAAGCATTTAGTTCATTGAAAGATAAATATCTCATTCCTTGTGAGATATTTATCTCGTTTCTCTGTGAAATAAATATTTATTTCTTGAAAAATGAACATTTTATTCCTTCTAAAACGATCACTGGATCTCATTCATTGAAAGACATATTTTTTTTTCATTTCTTGTGAGATAGATACCCTATACACTGAAATATCTAGGTGAGATATACTGTATATCATCTTGCTACATAAATGAAATAAATACCTCGGTTCTTGTTAGATAAATTCTATCCAATTCCCTGCGAGATAAATACCTCATTCTATGTGATATACAGTATTCCTTGCGAGATATAAACTGAATCTTATTCCCTAATAAATACAACAGTCCTAATTAAATAAATACCTAATTCCTTGTGCAATAAATACCTCACTCTATGTGAAACTGTATACAGTACTCCTTGTAAGATATAAACTGTACATTATTCCTTGTGAAATTACCCCATTCCTTGTAAGAAATATACTTTATTACTTCTGAAATAAACACTACTTTCCTTGCGAGATCTCGTAGTCCACATGCTTTTTTTGATATCATGAGTAGCAAAAGGATTTTTCGTTTATAGACGTAAAAATAAATACCTCCATATCTTTTAAATTTTAAAATTTTATATAAACATGATTTATTGCACTGCCTTCCCCAGGAAATCACGAACTGGTAAAGGATGGGCTTCTGTATTAAATACATATTTTTCAAAGGGAAATAAATCTTTATCATCACTGAATAACAAAAAAAGGTACTTTAAGGTTTCCCCTAAGAAAAAACTTTCCATTTTGTCACGAATTCCAGGATTTTTTGCATTTTGAACATTGCTTATTGATGAATAGCCGTAGGGTAATTTTGTATGGCGCTCAAATGCCTGGAATATCTCCCAGCCCCATTGACGGTAAAATTTATCACCTGTTATACGATACAAGTATAGTAGACTTTCAATTGTTTCAGGGCGTAGTAAGTTGTGTGCATCAGCAGGCTGTGAAGGGAAGAAAAACAAATAAGTATTCAGCTATTTGATAGGGTTCAAATGCATATAGGGTCAATAGAGGGGGTAGTGTAAAATTGATGCAAAAGAAGTATATGAAGGCTACAGAACCTAATGTTTGATTGCTACCTTTGATGCCAGACTTATGAGAAAGAAATGGTTTTAATGTGATATTCATTAGGTAACTAACCCGCACTGTAAATCATTTGTGTGTATACACAGCAAGACTTTTAAATCCTTGTTTTATCTAACTTCATTTGAAAAAATTGTCAGGGGATTGGAAGATTTTTTTTTCTCATTTAGCAAAATGGTTTTGCCAAATACATTTGGCAGATGAGAAAATAAAAATATGGATTTGTATGGTCAAAAAGTAATGGGGGCGTCCTTAGGTCTCTGTTCTAAATCCAAATGCTTACGATGTAAATAGTTGGGTAATCAGATTAAAAACGCTTTAAACATAATTAACAGTGAGAGAAAGTTTTTTATCGCAGCAGTGGACATAACAAAAATAAAAGAAAAATTTGTGGTGGCTATCTTGATAAGTCAAAAATTTAATTTTATTATAAGAAATCATTAAACTTTCAAATCCTGTGTATCTATGCCCACAAACAAGACAAAATTACAATACCAGAGCAACAGACCCAAAAGAGAGAAAAATACAGATTTCTTATTACATGTTTTTTATCGCAGTGGACATAATAATATCTGAGCAACTGACTCATGACTGAAATTACAAACCTTAATAATTATATCATCTGTACGTGCCCCTGGTACCATATTAAAATGAGAAATCTCTGGACTTAATTTGGTCGCAGTAAATGCATATGTTTGGTAGCAAGTGTGCATAAGATCTTTTGCTAGTTGTAGATGCCATTCATCTAGTCCATTCTTGTAACCGAGGGCTAGCGTTCCAGGCAGGAAACAAGCCAAGTGATCCTAGGAAAACAACAGAACAAAGGAATTTTGTTTAACAAATATTATTTTTGGATTATATAGAATCTTTAGAATGAGTTTTAAAGAATATATCTACCATTTTTGCAGAAAAACGATCTCCACTTAACAATTCTCCAACAAAAGTTAATTTATTTGGTTCAGATGTCCGCACCAATTTCTCTTTGGCTCCTGCCATAGCTTCTAGATAGTCATCAACAAACCTAAGACAACCAAAATTTAATTTTATGGTATTATTAAATTTAATAATTATTTGTTATTACTCTTTATGATTCAATGGTTCAGATGGTAATAAATGGCAACAATTATGATGCAATATTATTGTGGTAAATGCTAACAAAGTTGAGAATTACAAAAAAATAATAAATATGACATTCACTATATGTATATTTATTGTGTATTTTATTTAATATAAAAAAAACAATAAAAAAATGATCATAATTATTAAATAATACTTTGAATAGTTTTTATAACAATAGTAAGAACATTTATAAAAGAACTAATAGCAACACGAATTTCAGAAATTGTTTAAACAGTTTGCACCTTACCATCCTTAACAAATACCCAAAAACATAATAAATATATTATAAGGATGCAAGTGACAATGGAAATGATTAAACCATATACTGATAATTTAATGATGATCTTTTAATGATGCAAGAAAAATATATTATTGATAAAAATGATAGTAATAATAATATTTAATAATGATGATGATGTAACAATGCATTACTTACATTTGCTCACTTTTGCTTGTCTGAACCCACTGTTTCAATAAATATTCATAATAACTATCTCCACGGGCGCCAAATGTAATGGTTGAACGAGCACGGAACTGACCAGTGTTTGCATTAATGAATATGGGAACAAGACCACTTTCCTTCGGTAGATTGTGAATGTGCTTGCTAACTTTATCAACTGCTTTTTTATACTTCATATCACCTGTTGTAAAACTCAGGTCCCTGAACTCCAGCTGTATGGTTGTAACCTCTGAAACTGTGCTATCTGGACCCCATTTGGGCGCTTTAGCAACCCCAGTCATTAAATTAATGTCAGCAAAAGGTATGCTGGACTTGCTGTTAAAACATGGTAATAATTCATCTCCAAGTAACTTCTGAATAAAAAAAAAAATTAAGAAGATGCACATTGTTTATTTATTAAATAAAAGGGGTTGTTATTATCCCCAGCCTCTCCTTTGTTATTACTGTTCTTAAAGTCGCCCCATCATCATTTTTGTCATCAGCACCACCATCATTGTTATCACTATCAACTTGATGATGAGGATCCATCATCCAGTCATCATAATCATCAATATTGACTTGATGATGAGGATCACTACCATCATCACAGTCATCATCATCATCAATATTGACTTGATGATGAGGATCACTACCATCATCCCAGTCATCATCATCATCAATATTGACTTGATGATCTTCATCTACATCATCATGTCAATTGCCATCATCATATTCATTGTCATTTTCTTTAATTTTAGTCACCACAAAAGAAAAATGAATATAAATAAAACAATTTAGTATTGATTTGATGATGAGTGCAAAACTAACAGCTTTTTCCAAGAATACTAGTTCATCAGATAAATGGTAGGCTGATAATAATCCCCCTAACACTCGTATCGTCGTTTCAAACAAATTCACATCCTTGCGTGGTTTGATGTTCATATCGTTAGCAACCCAATCTCTTGCTTCTTTGAATTCTGGAGAACAATAAGTTTTTAAATTTATTATACAATTAGAGCAGGCAGACCGTTGAATGAATGTTATTATGGTATTTTGTCTATCTATTTCAGAATATTTAGAAAAATAAAACAATAAGACAAATGAAATTAAGATAAAACAATAATGATGGAAAATAAAATATCCATCTGGTTTCATAAAAAAATTTTATATGACGATGATAATAATAATAATAGAGTAATGTAATATTTTTTTTAAATAGAAAAATTTTAGTTACCTTTTTCAAGGCCTAGAATGATCATAGTATCTAAAGAATCCACTATCGTCAAGCCTAGGTTAAACCATTCATTCCAGGACTTGGAGACTGGCTTTAACTCATCATGCCCCCATGCATATGCCTTGTAAGCCTTCCAAGCATGCTTAAAGGCAGCCACTATGGCTTCCTGCTTCTCATTTTGTGGGCCTACAAAAATAATAAAGAAATCTGTTATTAATCAATTTGATATACTTTATATTCGGTGGCAGCGTAGGGGTCAGGGGAAATTAATACCCTTTGTCCAATGCCACAACAAGGATGTCAGACTAAAAATATTTTGCCAATCCAGTCAAAGTTATTGTCATTGCCAGTCCATAATATTCTGGTCTAAAAGCACAATTTTTGGCCATCCTAAACCATACTCTCTCCTTGTTAATTCCACCAGGGATTCTATTCCAGGATCCTGACCAAAGTTCCAGGCCACCCCTTGCTTTGGACCCCCTGTAAGACCAGTGGGACAATCTTGTCAGCAAATTTCAGGAGCCACTACTTACTACAGTGTATACACTTTGTTTTGTCTATAAGATAGGACCATTATCATTTGAACTGCTGTGAGTAATGTGCTGGAAAACTCATATTTGTGGGGGATCAATGTGCTGGCATCTTCCAATCTTAAATACTCAAAATGAGAACAGCTTTTTTGTGCTCTCCAGTAGGAACATTCTACATTCAATATAATATTTAGTTATTTAGGGTACCTAAAATAAAAAACATGCTGTAAGTACTAACATTCTTTAGTTATAATAATAATAATAATTGTTGACTTATATAGCGCATATTGTAGACTAACCTCTATGCGCTTTACATTATTACCCCCGGTCACTGGATCAGGCACATGGAACAACACTCATGCCCCATAATGTTGCAGCTGTAATCAGCGCATGGTTGTGTTTGAACCTACCAGGTACCCACTTATAATCCTGGGTGGAGAGAAACAACTGTAGATAAAGTGCCTTGCCCAAGGACACACTCGACTTGCACAGCGAGAGTTTCAAACCCCCGACCTCAAGGTGGGAAGTCCAAGCCACAACCGATGCGCCAACCACTTGTAGTTAACCTATAGGGTATTTTCATGGTTAAATAGTTACTTCAAATGAGAGCAATTTTTGTGCTTTCTAGTATTAGTAAAAACATTCAACAACACATCCTATATACATAGGATATGTGATTCTACATGCAGAGTTATTGAACATCAATTTAAATACATCACAAGAACATCAGTTGAATTACACAACAAGTAAAGCGAACTATTAGGTATTGTGTATTCTGCTATATTATACAACATTAGTATTATTAAATGTATTAATCTTTATTTTTATCATTAGTATTATCATTAATATTAGTGACTGTTTAAAGTATTAAGATAAGTAAAATAAAATTGTTGATTTTTGTATGCAAATACACGTTAGGGTCTGCACAACAAACCGTATGCATAAAAATTGCAACCTAAGCTAGAGCTTGTGGAGCAGTAGCCTTCAACAATGAAGTTTGCTCCTAAACAGAAGAAGAAGAAGAAGTTAATATAATGGCATTTGCAGGCGACTGCTATGAAAAATATGACTCTTTCATTAGCCTCGGCTATGCCTCATTTAATGATTCATGTGACACTGTGAAAAAATTCTCTACCAATGCACTCATAACACACATTCCACTCTACAATGCTGATAGCGTACTAATGAATCTAGCAGATGCTGACTTAATTACAACTCTTCCCGATTGCACATCCTGCAATTATACACACTGTACATTATCTGTCTCTTATACACATCTAGATGTGTATAAGAGACAGCTTTTAATGATGCAAGAAAAATATATTATTGATAAAAATGATAGTAATAATAATATTTAATAATGATGATGATGTAACAATGCATTACTTACATTTGCTCACTTTACCATATTTTGGTTGACTTTTGTTTGGTCGTTCATTGGCAATCTTATCAACATTATCATCTTCACCGTCATCATCATCACCACCAGCTGGTTGGTGTATCACAGGTTCATCAACCCTGTTATCTTGATCGCCCTAAAGAAAAGTGTGACTCGTTATTGTAACATAAGGAGATGTGACAGTCATCAAAATGTCATTGTGACATCATAGAAGATAAGACAAAATCAACATATCACTGACTTCATAATAACGTAAACATAATATTATGACATCATAAAATGACGTCTAGTCACCTAATAATATTGTGACATTATCAAGTGATATAATATTGTGACATTGTACAAACACATTATATTTGGATTATAATCAGATTTACCAGCACAGTAATATTTACTTTAAAAAAAAATATTTTTCTTTATATGCATTCGTCGATGAGCAATGAGGGATGCACAAATGTGTGGGCTTTAGCCAATTGTCATATCACAACTGGCATCATTAACATGTTTCATAATGAAATTCTAGTTACTGTATATGAATTCTTAAATTGAAGTGAAAAAATATATGTAAACACTGAAGTGTTTAGTAACCTGATTCGCTATGTCTGGACCACCAGGACCATCAATCACGGTTTCATCCTTCTTGCCACCAACATTTCCGTTTCTCTAATAAAAAAAAACATACACTATATTTAAGAGCATTCAATTCTCAAATCAACACAACCAAAATGGACAAGCTGAAAACGCAACCACAGTGGAAAGGAAATTAATGTCATGTTCTTTGAGGTTTATGTGTACGATATGGTATAATCTTGCCCATATATATATATATATATATATATATGCAAATTACATCATAAAACTTAATAGTGGACAGATATTCAAAGAATATAATTAACTAGTACAAATTTCTCAACCAAGGTGCTTTCCTTTTTTAAAGGATTTACGGTAGTAAATGGTGTTGATAGTGCTAGTGGTGGTGTTGAGCAATAGTGTCGGAATGCAATCGCTCACCTCAAATTAATTTTAAATATTATGCTAATAACCTCACCTGCTGTACATCATTCTCAAAATGAAAATAATCCACACCTATTTGTCCCCATGGAGGTTGATTCATTGGATCTTGTCTACCTGTTGAAGTTTTTCTGTGTAATAATATGTAAATAGAGACAACTACACCAACAGCTAAGGACATAGAAATTATGTTTCTTTGTAGCCTTGACATTCTGCGCCAAACCTGTTGAGCAAGAACATAGAGCAATGTGATTTTGTGAATCAATGCAACACAATCAATTACCTAAAATTAAAAAGATAAATTTTTCAGTGAAATATTTTATAAATTAACGGGTCAATTAAAAGGGGATGCTTAACTAATTTTGCTGTGGCGGTAAATAAAAAGCCCAGCTGGTGGGCCAGCCCCGGCCTAGATAATAAGTAACCTTTAAGTACACTGGCCCAAGCTTAACTTGTTCTAGAAATAGGAAGAATAGGTTAGGTAGCCCTCCTCCTAGCTAGGCAGCAGGCCCAGCTCCTGCCCTACTTGCCCAGAAGAGACTAGGGGAACCTTTTTTAGCTGGCCAAGCCTGGCCTTAAAGTAGTAGTAAGCTAGGGACAGAGTAGGCCTAGCCTAGCTTTTTGGGTTCGTTTTCTGCCACTGTACTCTCTTGAAACTTACCCTCCAACATGATTGTCTTTTCACTGACTTACTGTCATCTTCTGTGACAGTGAATGAAATGAAATTACGTTTGTTTGGGGAACCATACATGTTGAAACCTCCAGCTAGCCCATTGACATACACTCGAGCGAACACAACAACAGACCACCGAGTCGAGCATGCATGCAACGCAAACCACACGGTAGGCTGGACCCAAAGGACACATCATCAATAGTTGTCAATGTTGATTTTGGAGGAGGCCCTCAATGTCTCGGTACTTAATACGCCATGAAAGATTTGGTAGTTCACTCATTTCTGTTGTCAATCTATTTAATATCTTTATTATCTATATTTGCAACCATATTTAAGGAGGGTAGCTCATCCATCAAAGCTGATCATTTGGGGCACTCACATACATCAAAAATACAACTTACAATACAGGTACAGTCTCCTGATGAAGTCCGCTGTGTGGACGAAAGCTAGAGAATAAACTATATATTTTTAGTCTCAAAATGCTGCTGTTTTTTACTTTATACTTTCAATACAGGTACTATAATAGCAATACAGGTAATAGCTTAAAATTAGATATGAAATACATATAAAAAACCCCGATTTATATGATTGCAATGGATTCTTTAAACCTATTTGAATAACAGCAAAAATAATCAATAGAATGCCGAATAATATTAGGAATACTATTTAAATATAACAGAGCCCTATATATATATATATATTTTCATAAAGTAATTGGAAATAAAATATTTCAATATTTTACACTCTAACATTATAACACAAAAACCGTTATTAAGTTTTCCTAACTTCAATAGCTTTGCATTAATATAACACTTTTAAAGATAATCGAGACTTTACAAAAAAAAGAAAAAAAAAGAAAGAGGTGGTCCAGGCTTCCAGCACACAATGCAGAGCATCAATTAAAATAGACATCTCATATATATTGTAAAATGTAATCAAATCCATTACTACGGCATTAAAATTACCTGTATTTAGAAAATACACAGCTCACTTAAATCAAATCACAGTAGGCTATGTTAAATCAGGGAGTTGTTGTAGTGACTATAACAACTCCCTGGTTAAATGCTTCTGGAATATCAGTCCTTTCTCAGCACTGATACATAGCCCGGAATAGAAATTGAAACTTGGACTAAAAAGAGGTGGTTCAGGTGTTCAGGACACAAAATGCAGAGCATCAATTAAATAGTCATCTCAAATATATTGTAAAATGTAATCAAATGCGATTACTTACCATAACTACAACTTGTAGTTACAAAATACAGCTCATTTAAATCAAATCAAAAGTAGGCTATGATAAATTAATGCTTCTGAATATCAGTTTCTCAGCAGTGATACATGGCCATAAATAGTAAATAAAGAAATGAGTTTGTTTTGCCATCTGCTGAGCAAGACAAAAAGGTTCTGCTTCATTGCACTCTGTGCAAATAGCTTGCAGTAAGTGTAGTAGTAATGCCGTTACTAAGTCCAGACAAAGACGCATAGATTACAATGTCCATGTATGGATGTTACTAGAACAATGATCATAACATAAAGCATTTAATAGTACATGTTCCTCAAACAAGCATACTGTGTACTTTAATAGCAATAATACAGATGTCCTACAGACTACTGGGGTATTCAAAAATCAGTTATAATGTAAATAATATAAACTAAAATACCTGTTGGCTTTGGTGAATAAAAAATATATAAATCTAGTTCTTCTCTTCTTATATACATATATAGTATAGTGTATATATATATATTTGTATATTATATACCTCTAATTCACTTTCATTTTGTGATCCAATCAACTCATTGTATATTTTACTTGGTTCTGATTGGTTAAATATAACATATACAAAATGTGTATTATGCTAGATCTTCCAAGTTTACTCACTGCAACGTGATAAAGATAGCAGGAGCGATCAAAATATGTTTTATTTAATTATATTTTTATAAATTTATATCCCGCAAGTCAATATTCAATGAGAGTACATTGTCTTTTAGATGTTTTTACATTATATATATATATATATATATATGTTGTATTTGTTTTCCTATCTGGCACAGCTTGATAAAGGTTTATCACCGAAAGTACTCGCTATATTTTCAAGAAATATGTGGCAAATTATGTTTCATTTTATGCATCATTTGCCTATGCAGCCTTTCTTATTTTATCGTATATATATATATATATATAAAAATATAGATATATATATATATAAATATATATATATAAATATATATATATATATATATATATCATATAATTTGGATATGAAAGGAATGTTAATAAAACCACAAATACTAACAGAAAACAGAGACCAACTCAACATATTTCAAACTTTAATATACTTTTTAAATACAATATACTAATGAAGATTCTTTCTAAATTTTAACAAATTCTGAAACAATAGAAGCAAAATGAATCTCAAGCCATATTTCTTGTTATTCAGCAAAAAAATGTTGGTTGTAGATCTGATTTAATTTTTAATTGTAAAAAAAATTAAATTGTCAACAAAATATAATGTTCCATTGTCAATAAAATATTATCTAATAATAAGTTCATTCTTTCTAAATTGTTGGCTGAAGTTGTAAGCTACAAATGTTAATTAAATATCTTAAATGTAAACCAGAACATATATCAGAAAAAATAAATGGTGGTTTATAAGTTACTATAATTACAATTAATCAGTAATTAAAATGTAGAATAAAATAGAAAATTGTTAAAACACTGAATAACATAAATGTTTCCATTTTTGTTAACAGTATGTTAGAAAAGATGGTTGATATTTTATGTAATAAAATAAAACAAAAAATGACACACATCTATCTGATTTTGGAATATTAAATAAGAATATAGAACAAATAAAGGTAACAATTAAAAGACATTAAAATGATTGTATATTGTGTGAAAGGTATAATCTTTGAAAAAATTTTGAGTAAAAGTTAGGTAATGTTTCTATAAAAGCGAATAAAATAGTTAAAACTTTAATATAGCGATGAATCTAAGAACATGATAGCAATTATAAAGGAAGACTGACCCCCACCTATCACTGATATCCAACCGTTGTTAACCAAAACTGTTGGTACTGAATTTCAGATTATATAATACAAATTATTATATATAATTTTATATAACCTGCATTATATAAATCAATATGTATATGTATTATATAATACAGTACAAATGTAATACATATATATATAATATATCAATTATATACTTTTTTAATAGGCATTATATAATATACTGTCTTTCATTTGCATTATACAAGTGCATTTTACATAACTTAATATGTTTTATAATATGCATTATATGTGCAAATCATCTGAATATTCACAAACTATTTGGATCTGAGTATTTTTGGTTTATTTAATCAATGACAATCAGTGACCAACTGATCACATCACAGTGACAGAGCAGACTCTAACAGGTAAATTAGTTATATTTTGTACTTATTTCTATGTTGTTTTATATATATAAATCATATGTGACATATATACTTTCCAATGTTTCCAGACATCATATGAAAATATACGAGTGTGAATAGTACTTTTTGATGTGTATATTTCATGTAAGGACAGTGTTTAGCTTACATCTTCACTAAGCATTCATGAACATGATAAAAGTAAGATAAAAGTAATTTTAACTGCATTTTGTGATTTAACTCAATAGAGAACTTAGTAATATACAGTAAGAGCAGTTAAGATCAATTATTGTAATCTGGGTAGAATCCCATACTTGGTGAGAACACAGAGAGGATAAAGCACCAGAAAGAACGTTTTGTATACATACATTACATAACTGAAACATTAAAGCAGTTAAAAGAAAAAACAAACAGTTAAAAGAAAAATTCCCCTAATATTAAATATTTACAAATGGAATGTCAGTTTGTTAGCTGATTGTACAAGTATTGATTCTAAAGATACCATATTATTTTTAAAGACATTTTAAAAGGTAAGAATGTAATTATGTATAATCAATAAAATAAATTTTAACCATCAGTATTGTCTGTTTCTGGTACATTTTCTGCTTTTGTTTCTTCGGTTGTTGCTTCTTCTACTTTTTCCTCTTCACCACCTGTGTTTCCTTCTGCTTCTGGTGTTGTTTCATCCTTTGCTGATTCAGTGTTGTCTTCTGTCTTTGTTTCTTCTGGTGATTCTTCCTTTGTTTCTGTTTCTTCCTTCTTATCTACAGCATTTTCTTCTGAAGTGTGCTCTGGTTTTTCTTCTGAAGTCTGTTCTGGTTTTTCTTCTGAAGCTTGCACTGGTTCAGATACACCCTCTTTCTGTTCTGATTCTTCTGCCTTTTCTTCAGAAGCTGGTTCTTCTACCTTATCTTCTGATGCAGCTTCTTCTGGTTTATCTTCTGTTTTAGGTGCAGGCTCTGCAGGTGCCTCTTCAGTAGTTTCCTCATTTCCTTTCTCTTCAGCCTTGGCTTCTGTCTCCTCTGGCTGACTTTCTTCAGTCTTAGCATCATTAGTTTCCAGTGGTTTCCCTTCCTTCTGTTCTTCGGATGGTGTGGCATTCTTTTCTGATTGTTCCGCTGCTGCAGCTACAATGCCATGACCTTCCAAAAGTTTGACAACTTCTACAAAGATATCATCTGGTGTGCCTGATTCAGCAGCAACCTGTAAGAAAAATGGCAATAGTAAACATTTATGCAATCCATTAACTACCATGGTTCTGCAGGTATAAAAATTGAAATTAGATTGAAAGGGGGATTCCTTGGTTATGCGTCGACCCCCAAAGATTGGAGCATTTTTGTGTTCAAAGGGGTGGGCTTATACCAAAGAAACTATGGTAACTAATAGAAACCACATATTATTCAATTTGTTTATTGATATTATTTAACCAGGGTGGCATATTTAATCAGCAAATCAGTCTCCCTTGGGTCATGCTTACACATTACAGCAATAACAAAAATAATAGAATAATAATAGAATAATAGATATTGAGTGAGGTTTGCCTGGATGATTTAGATGACACTGGGAGATTGATGCAAGTGGTAATAAGGAAACCAACGTTGGATACCACAATTCAATGGTATAAAGAATAAATAAGTGTGTTACCAAGATAGGAACAGTAGTCCACCTTAAAGCTACACATGATCTTAATTGACAATTTTATGCTTGCTTGAAATATTACATCTGAAAATCATGTATTTATTACATATAGGAAAATAATAATTTTATAATAATCATAATAATGAACAGTAAACGTATTACAAAAATAAAATAATTATTCATAGTTACATCATCACTAAATTACCTTCTTTGTTTTTTCCTTAAAATGATCAAGAACAGGTGTGGTGTGTTCATGGAACACACTCAAACGTTTCTTGATTGTTTCTTCGTTATCATCAGACCTACCACTGGTTTCTCCCCGCTTCAGTAACCTAGTTGTCATTTCCTCATCAGACACTTCAAAGTAGAGGAGAAACTGGCATTCAGTAATCTGGAAGTAAACAAATAATTGGTAAATACAAACAATAAAATGATAAATACAAATAATTAAATGGTTTAATAAATAAGAAAATCTTTAAAAATAGTTGACATAATGAAAATTTACACTTTTATTTAAAATGTAGCTTATGGAATTGATCACCAGTCAGAAGTAAATAAATACTGTACCTCCTTTTCAAATTCTATTCCTTGTTCCAATTTCCTAGGATAACCATCAATTAAAAATACTTTAGAACTTGCAAGAGATGCTTCCATTGACTCCTTGAGAAGTTGAAGCACGACATCCTGAGGGCCAAAAATAAATCTGGATTATATTATGGAGGTATTAGAGAAGGAGATCACTCGAAGAAAGCTATGTGCATGCAGCGCTATGTGCTTGAAGAACGTTTGCGCAATGCCTTTGAAGTCCGATGTGTTACCCGCCATCAAATTTTCAGCAGGCATAGTTTACGAAAAAATTGAACATGGCAAAATGGAGAGCACCTTCTTTTCTGGATGCGCACTACATACAGTCAATCACTATGGCTGCGCAATCGTTTCCATTTTGAAGCTGATACATTTATCTCTCATAAAATATCAAACATATTAATATTTTCCACCAAAAAAAGTTTCGAATTTAATGGAACATTTACATGTACATGACCTTAAAAAGTATAGTATATTTCAACTTCAATTTTCATAAATTGGCCAAAATTCACTAATTCTAATTTTAACAGATATTAATTAATAAATGATTGAGGATTATAATAAACTAACTCATTTTAGGGTTAACGAGGGTTAACTATTCAAAAAATCAATCCAAAATCTGAGTATTTTTCAGTTTTACGCTGACTTAGCTTTGTAGTCGAACCAATCAATCTTTAGACAGAATTATAATGAACACAGAAGTAATTTTAACATAAATATTTTACGGAATCCGTTCCTCAAATATACACATAATAACACACTAAAAGTCCGAAAAAAATCTAATCAGGGGAACATTGTTCATTATAATGATATTTAATGGGTTAGAATCAAACGCTTTATTGCTCAACTGCTCTGCTGGAAGCGTATAAATGCATGTCGTTGCCAAGTTGTTGCTAACGAAAAAATGTGAATTATAGGGTAATACGCCGGGGAACACATAGATTTGTCGCGTCAAAGGGATCTGTTGCCGAGTGATCTCCTTCTCAATAATACCTCCATGATTATATTCGGGCAGTAAACAAATGAAATCAAAGATATACTTTTGTAGAAAAATCCAAAATAAAATTAAAACATTAAAGTATTTATTTTTTGAAGGAATGAAATAATAATAGTTGAGTCGATTAGCCGAGCGTTTAAGGCAAGGGCACTACCTACAGCTATAATATCGTCACTGGTTTGAGCGACAAGCTCCTCTATGGTTCTGGTGGTAGAACAAACCGTCTCTTATAAGAACTACTAAAATCTGTAGGCTCAGTGTACACAATGGCTTATGTGCACTATTAAGAAGCCAGTACATGATTCAGATGGGTAGCACAGACACAAAGGGACCATAGGAGTGAAGAAAGCCACTAAACAAGCAACTAGTCCACACATCAAGTGCCATGAGCATCTTGTTTGATGGATACTGGCGCTATTATAAATGTACACTTTTACTGTTACTATTACTATTATTATCATTATTATTATAAGTTATCAACATTATGAAAATCCTTACAGTAACTGATTACCAGGAAAATTCAGTGATATGCAAAAAGTACAGGAAAAGTATTATTCATACAACTACAGTATTTATATTACTCTTATTTATGTTAAGCGCATAGAGGTCTCTATGATATGCGCTCTTAAGTCGACCATTATTATTATTATTAATAGCTGAGCTAACCTTGAAAAATAAAATTCAAAGATTTCAATTGTTTACTTTCCAATTTTGAAGTATTTTTCATTTAAATATACAGTATAATGTTCTGAAGGTTGTTTTACAAAGTGGATGAATAAAAATGATCAATGAATGGAGTGTATGGGGGTGTATATAATATTTTAATTTTCAAAAGAATAAATATGAGATGGTTCATCCTTATGATGATGCAATAATTAAGAATAGCCAATGAAAATGGGCTCACCACAATGAAGCTATAATCAGGTGGGAATGTCAATAAATATAGGCCTAGTAAAATGATGATGAAATTAAGTTTGATAGACAATAAATATAGGCTCACCAAAATGATTATAATCAGGTGGAGCAGTGAATAAAGTATCAGCAAAAATGGTGATGCAATCAGGTAGGGCAGTCAGTTTAAGATCAATATCATTAAAGTATAGCAGTAATATAATGTCTAAACAACTGAGTAATGACCTCCAACATTTACAAATAACAGTCTAATAAAATGCAGATAATTAATTAGATTTTTTTTTCCCACATTGATTTGATTTTCAGTTTGCAACAGCTTAAGCCATATGTGTCAGCCTCTCAAGCTCAATTCTATTCAATTTGAAAATATAATATTCCAAAGCTATCTTCCATTTGAAAAATCAATATTACTCATGTGTAGCGAAAGAAAAAAACCCAAAAGAACGATGTGTTGGGTAAACACGTCTAGATGAAATGTAGTGTAGTAAAAACCCTTGCCCTCTGCAAAATCAATACTCACTGCATGTGTAGGGAAGAAAAAATACAAAAAAAACCCCCCAAAAAACGATGTGTTGGGTAAACATGTCTAGATGAAGTGTAGTGCAGTGAAACACCCACCCCCACCCCCACCCCACCCTCCTCAACTCCGAAATCAGAACAAGTGGCTGTCTGATAACTCATAATGAGCAAAGACTTATTCTTCTGATCACAACCATCTGTTGGCTATACTCATAAATTTATTCAAGGGCAGGTAATAATTCTCCTCATTTAATTGCTTTTGATTGTTGTAATATTTATTATTTTCCATTAATAAAATAGAACACAAATACCCACATCTAGGGGAAACAAAAGGGATATGGAGAATATGCCACTGAACATGAATACAATATTCAAAGGAACATTAACATTAACAAATAAATGCCTAAGATTTGTTTAACAAACCGTATGCCATAAAAACTCCCCTCCCCCACAAGAACCCTACTAAGGATTTTTATTTCACAAACCCTGATCGAGTTTCTAGTCGGCTCCTTGGTTTGGACCGACTTGTCAGACATTTTGGACCCCACATTGGCAAATTTCTGGAGCCACCACTGCTGGGAAGTGTATCAATAAATTAAAAAATATACATAGTATGCAATATTCTCCACTCCCTAGGAAGTATAACTAATTGTACTTCTAATGCAGTATATTGTTAACAGACAAATACATTTATATATCTTCTTTATATGCTGTCTATATACTGATTGACACTTTCAGGGCTTAAGGCTTTGACTCACTCAGTGGTTCAGTTGTGCATAACAAGAAAAGTAAACACAGTGCTACCAGAACATCAATATTCTACCAGATTTATACTTCCGGCTAGAGAGAAAAAGAGGAAATGGGAATAAACTTCTGACATAAATCCAATAAAATAATATAATTTAAAAAATAATGTACAAACCTGAGGAACTAGTTCACCCTTTTCCATTATCTCTGTTAATTGCTTTCCTCGTTCTGACCCAGATTTCACCTCTGCCCTCAGAAGGTCCCCGGCCGAAAGATGCATGAATGAATATTTTTCTACAAGTTTCGCACATTGAGTACCTTTACCAGATCCGGGTCCTCCTATAATACAAGTTCAAAAGAAGAAAATACATTAATTATCATTGGTGGAATATTAATTAGATCCAATACATTCATTATCATTAGTGAAATATTAATTAGATCCTATACATTCATTAACATTGGTGGAATATTAATTAGCTTTCAGCATCTTTCTAGGGGTCAAATAGCTTACAAACATCCTGAAGGTCATGTAAATAAAAATTAACCTTTTATTCATAAGTCAAATATGATGTAATTTTAAAAATATTTACTAACTTAAAATTCTGACCAAGAAAATATAGACCATGACATTACTAGACATGAAACAATGTAATTAGTTTAACTGTCACCATTACACAGGTGAGATCAAAACTGAAAAATGTTATCCCACATATTCCTAAAGCACATACTAGATTGACAACAGCATACAGAGAATTTGTGTATTCACCCTTGAAATAATAAATATATAGATATTCATACTGTACATATTAATGAATAATAAATTTTTTTACATACATATTTTATATAAAATTAGTGATGTGATTTTTCATAAATTTTAGACAAAATTCTTTACATTGATGGAAGTGGAATTTCCTTGTTTTATATTTGCAATGATTTCCTATAAGAATATCATATTTATTATTGTCAAGTGCAAGAAAATTTTGTATAGCCACTTCAGATGCTCTATATATACATTATATATATATATATATATATATATATATATATATATATATATATATAGGTAGTGCTTGTTTTCGTGGCGGCATTTCGATACAAGTTCTGACCTTCTGTTTAGGAGTCCCGTCCTTCACGCGTTGATGATGGCAAGCTTCTCTGATATACATAGGTCGCATCGTTTCGTCTTGTTGTTGGATGCCTGGGCTTTGGTGATGATAGACCAAGAGATGGTGAATGGTTGATTTTTCTTTTTGAGTTCCCATATGTATCTGGAGAGTTCGGTCCTGTGTTGGTGTTTCTCCCTCTTGAACGATTGTGTGTGGTTGTAGTATCTGGATTTGAAGGGTGGCTCTGTCAGTCCGATGTAAACTTTAGGGTCGTCTTCGTTGGTCTTTTCCACTTTTGCTTTGTAGATGATGTTAGAGGCCAGGCAATTTCCTTGGAGTGGGCATTGCTCTTATATATATATATGAAGAGTTCATACGCAAAAACCGATAAACGCCATTTCCGTCAAAAATGAATCAATATAGCCATTTTTTAGCTTATGTTGCCACGATCCTAATTATGAAACCAACGTATTTTGCACGACAGGCGAACGTTTTTTTGCAAAAGCCTATAAACACCATTCCATGTTTTTGGCAAAGGCCGATATATCTGTTTCAGCCAATCAGCGTGCAGCTCTGAATTGAGGCAACTAACACTGCTCTCGCACAGATAGTGTGACGTAAATCTAGTAAATACTTTATAAATAATGGATAATTTCAATGATATTGAAAAGCCTGTGTTGAATTCTCACCATTGGGACATAAAAACAGCGGTGCCCAGGCAATTCTGTTCAAGCTTGGCCACGAGAACTAGGGCCTAGGGCCTAAGCCTAGGTAGGCCTAAGTGGTGAGGAAAATGTTGAACCTGTCGTATGCACACGGTCATGTTGGCTTCACTTTCTACCAACGATCTTCCTTGTGTTCAATATGTGTCATATATAATAAGCCTTGCCCTCCCCACCCCTTCTCCCTGGTACCACCACACCATTGAGTTTTATTCTTTCAAAATAATAGCCCAAGTAATAACACTCAGTATAATATTAATGTTATAAAGCACATAGGCCTACAATACAAAAACAAGCAGGGTTGAATTCAGAAACATGACATTAAGCGTACCTCCCTCCCCCCACCCCCAACCATAACCATCCAGACCTGGTTTTGATTGTCTCAACATGAGTTTCTATTTAACTTAGAATAGTAAATTAATTGGTAATAATGGTTTTACATTTCAGTTCCTGCTGATGCTGGATTTGTAAAAAATCAGGAGGTGGATTTATCTGTTTTTGACGCAAAACAAAATAAATATCACCAAATTATCTTTCTTAATGAAAGTTTACATTTTTCAAATTTTAACAGTATGATCCTACATATGTATCGATTTAGAGCCTGCATTTTTTAAGTTTGTTGATCTTTAGAAGAAGGCTTATTAAAAATACATAATTATCTCGAAACTAAAAAATTGGATTTATCTGTTTTTGCATATGAACTCTTCATATATATATATTATTATATATTTTTATCATTATAAGTGGAAACTCCCAATTAGATACATAGGAGGATAATCCATTTAAAGCAGTATACAAATATATAAGAGAATCTGAACTTACCAATGACAAATATGACCTTGGCATCCTTCAATGTGGGAGTGGCAACCTCCTGGTCCTTGCTTTGCTGCTTCCCTACATTTAATAAAAAGAAAAGCGCAAAATGGAAGGGAAATGTCACAAGGTCACATGATTCTCACAATGCAATATTAAAAACAACTTAAGAACAATCTCTGCATAATATTCACAAGTTAAGTCCAAAAATTGGCATGCCACAACGACGCATTAACAATAACATGACATTGGTTTGTGTTGCTCAACAAACATCATTAATCTATGCAGGGCCTAAAGATTCTCCTGAAGTACCTTTTGACAGTTTCTTGCCCATGTTTTGTAGTCCCAGGTGAGTGTGCTTCTACTGCTACCAGCCAGTTATTTTGACAATGGTTACTATATATATACTTCCTGGTTTTACTTCCTCAATTCCCCAAACCCATTTATTCATATCACCATAGTAATTAGAGGAGTAGTTGCTATAGTTAGTCTCAATACACCAGATTCAATTGAATAGGTACTGCAGTTTCAACATAAGGCTGAACGTGGGTGGAACAATCCATTATATAAGAGAGGGTAAATGAAGCTAAATAAAATTATGTTTACCTTCTGAATCAGGAAGTGTTTGGTCATCCTCACCGGTAACGTAAGCTTCCTTTTTCTCAAGTACCTCTTCAATAACTACATAAAAATAGAAAAAAATAAATAATTATCTAAATTATTATATCATGCTTTGTATGATTTTTATAATATACAAATCATATTGTAAATGGCATTTATTTTTTTTGCTGAAATTACATCCTATTTTCATGTTAATAGTATGATTTTCATTCAAAACAACATAAAATACATTGAAATGTTCCACACCCCTTCCTACAAATGGAATATTCCAAAAATACTGCCACAAGAACACAAATAAAGCAAACTATTGACTGATGATGACATAATTAATGTTGAAATATTGAATCCCAACACGATGGCGTGCATTTCAATACTTGGAGTATGTATTATACCTTCTTATTTGAGATTAATCAGTGGACGTTTCGAACTTTGGTTTTACATGTTTATCTTTATGATGTTTTAATATTGACTTTGTGTTCTTTAGGTGAATGTTTAAATTGTATTTAAAAAATGTTTTTCAAGACCTTTGGCCACTGCAGTACTTCTTAAAGAAGATTTATTCTTTTTTTAGGCCATAAAAAAATACTTAAAAAAACATGAAAGGTACCTTCTGTCCTTGGTTTGTCTGTTATCTCTGGAATGGGTTCATCCTTCTCTGCTCCTGTATCCAGTAATTCAGTGGCAAGCTGAACGAGTTCCTCTTTCTGTGGGAAAGGGATGAGAATCAACATTTCATCTTTATACATAATATAAAGTAAAAAATTACTACCATTGCATTGGGATGATATGATTACTTACCTCTTTATTTTCTTCAGTGCTTTTAGTTCTAGAGTTTGAAATTGGTGGGAGTGGTGGTGACTTTGCATTCAGTTTCAGATCAACTACAGAAAGTTATATATAAAAACATTATTGTTATCATCATCATCATCATCATCATCAACAAAATAATCATCAAATCACTATCATCTACCACTTTTCTATTTACTATGATTAAAATGAATTATTTAATAGCTTTTTTCCTATTTTATGGAGTATTGTATTTAAACTTTATGTTTTGGAGAAATATTTAAATCTTATCAATTAATTACTTATAATTATAATTTTTCTTTATTTATGAGAAATGGCATTAGCTCAATTATTCAATATAATTATGAATACATAAATTAAATAAATGTTTTAGTATATAAAATTAATAAAACAAACTGATAATTGTCTTAATTTGCTGAAATTCAATTACTCAAAAAGAAAAAAAAAAGAATAAATTCCTGAAGCTGTAAGGGCTATATTGGAAAGAAATGTTAGTTATTGAATAATTATACCCTGTATAAAGAAGGTTTAGATAAATAAATATAAATAAATATATTATTTGTTGTAGATGTATGACAGATAGCACCCCTAGAAAATGAACAGTAATAAAAATCATTAATTTTGTCATACCACAACTTCTCTCTTAGAATTTAACAAAAATAAGACATATTATTAGCAAAAAGACAGTACTATTTACACAGTGGAGCAGTCTTAAGTAGATGAGATGCTTACCACTGGCAGCTTCTGGTGTCTTGGGCGAGTAGAACAATTCATCAAACATGTTTGCAACATCATAGAAAACCTCATCCTCATCTCTGTCAGCATCCACCTATAGAGGGCGATATTTAACAAGCAATGGTAGTCAGATGTAAATAAAGAATTGACTTGACTAACACTAAATAATTACAATAATAATAATAGTAATAAAAATAACAAAGGCAATAATAATATAAACAACAAAATCAGTAATTATAATAATAATAAATTTACAATGATTATAAATAAAAAAGTTAAAACAGTGTTATAAATAAAGAACTCAGTGAATAATACCAAGGATTGATAGGAAATAAAATGAATAAAAGGAGTCAATACTGATTGAGGTATATCATATACTAATTGGATATAAAATTGTATGCTCAATGCAATGTATATGAACAGTTCTTCTTTTGGCTTTTTCGGCTTTATCAAGCCATTAGCCTTACCACCACTTTCTTCCAGTTCAGCTTTTCGCAATTGTTTTTTGCTCAAAGTAAATATCGTTTTATTAATATGAACAATAATAATAATAATAATAATAATAATAATGTTATATTTATATAGTGCATATTGCACATTGCCCCTATGTGCTTTACAGAGAAATATCATAGGGCAACTGAAGAAAAAGCAAATAACAATAAAATAATAACAATTAATAATGAGTATTAATTATCACGATAAAGAGATAAGGAGAACAGACCTTTTTAATATCATCTGGAAATTGTTCAAAGAGACAGGGAGTATTTTTTAAGAATATTGACAATCTAGATTCAGTTGCCTCTGCAGTATCATCTTCTCGTTTGTTAATGGCTCTCCTCTTTTCTAGTCGGTATCGCAATATCTGCTCATCACATTCAAGATACAGAAGAAGATCTGGATGTCCGTACTTAACAAAAAAAAATAAAATTATCAAATGTAACACAGATTTTTTTGTAACTGGCTATGAAATAAAATTTAATTCTATACACTAAAAAATATACTGTCTATATAATACAATAAGCTTAAAAACATAATAGTTTGAACTGAAGTATCTTTGCTTTTAAGATATTTGATTTTTATACAGGGGCGGATCCAATGGGGGATATGTGCTCCATCCCCCACCCCCCCTTTTACCACTACATTTTAAAATTTCAGTACATACAATGACATGTATTGAAATAAGACGAACTAGAAAATAAATATGTGACCCTCCTCCCTTTTGAAATATCAATTTTGGAGTGTTTTTTTTTTCTAGATTTACCCATAAAATACGTTTAACATACGGTACTAAGGATTAGCAGTTAATAGAATAGTACACTGTAAATTTAATGATGAATCTAATTTATCATCACCATTCAAAAGCAGAGTAGGTGATCATAAGATTTCTCTATAACAGTGATCTTAATTAACCTACTAAAAATATCTATGGTGTATTATAATTAACAAATATCATTAATTATTATCATTAATTATCATCATTATATAGCATGGAAGAAATTTTATAGTAAAAATCATTGCATATATTAGGATTAAATCTATAATTTCACTTCTAACAGAGTAGGAGATCAGAGGATTTCTCTATGAACAATGATCTTAATTAACATAATAAAAATATCTATGGTGTATTATAATTAACAAATATCATTAATTATTATCATTATTAAACAGCATGAAATAAATTTTATAGTAAAAATCATTGCATATCCTAGGATTAAATCTATAATTGCACTTCTAACAGAGTAGGTGATCAGAAGATTTCTCATTTAAAGGAACCTAACAGAAATATCTATGGTGAAATACTACATACAGTGGGTTATCTTGGGGTGCATGGCTCCAAATAATAGCTTTCCGATCCTCTTCCCCACCCCATTGAAAATGTCCAAAGCCAAAAAAAATCATTCTCAAGTAATAAAAACCACCTCATATCACCTTATTTTGTGACCTTGTTCCTCCCACTTTATCATCGAGCCTCCCCACTCCAACCTCGGCCCCCCCCCAATCAGCTCCCCATTTTAAGTTTCCTAGATATGCCACTAACTGCAAGCCAAAGTTCATACCAACATGCATAAAGTTTATGTTACAGGAAATTGACTCTAAATATTTACTACTGCAATAACTAAAAATTAAATGAAGGAAATAGGCCTATCAATCAATGATTGTTATGTAAACCATGGACTTACCTCAGATAGTAACTGACCCTTGGCTACAATGGACTTGAGGTTTGACATGTGGGCATCATCTTCCTTACTGGCTGATATTTTGTCTCTTATCATTTGTCCAACTGACACATGATGATATTCAGCATACCTACTGCCCAGCTTCTCACACAAGAGAGCTTTACCACTTCCTGGTCCACCTGAGGACAATCAAAATAACATTAAAAAATAGGCTCCCAGTGGAAGTGTGTGTCTACTGTTTGATAAGTTTTTTTTAAGGCTACTGTAACTCATCCATCTTTCTGTGTTGGCCATTCACTTGAATCATGGAGGTATAAAATAGCTTGAATAACTGTACAAATTATATTGTGACTTTTTAGTGAACTTTAAAGGACAGGTTTTATCTAGCAACTTTCTATGTTGGCAAATTCACTTGATAACTTAACTTGGACAGGTTTTGTCTAGCATGGCATATTTCGTAAACTTACTTTTCATTTTTATCTTTAGCTCATGACCCATCCCATCATTCTTCCACCGGATTTATTCTTAAAAGGTCAACTATCAGAAGATAACAAAGTGTCTACTTCCCCCTTGGGCAGTAGACACAAAAATAATAGAAAAAAAGATTTTCCCACACGACAGATTCGCAACTTCTTTGTCGATTCCATGGCATGCTTCTAGGATTTTTCTATGTAATAACTGACCATCTATTTGTAGCTATGCTCTAGTCCAAATATGTGTGACATTTGTGTAAACCTATTTTCTGAATTACTTTTTAAATAACTTTATGCAAGTACAAGCATTTTAAAATTTCTGTTCGAGAACAGTAAAGTCTTTTTTATATATCGGGCACATCTAGGATGTTGTTTCCAAGAGAAACTTTTCAAGGAAAATATGTTGACATAATACAGTAACTAATTCATAATTTGAACAAATCCTATACCTCAAAAAACTTGGAACTTACCAATGACAAATATATGTTGTAGGTTTTGGGATCTATTTATGGATGCAATTGGTGGGAGGGGACTAGTAGTTTTTAAATCCAAGAGGGAGGGCTCAGTGGCGAACGTTGGTTGACGTTCTAATGGCTCTGATGTAATTGGTGGCAACGGGCTTGTCTTTCTCATTTGTACTTGATCTTCAACGAATGTGTTCCATTGAAGTGAGCGGCCATCGCTGTCCTTTGCTTTGGTGATGCACTCTTGCAAATATTCAAGGTGGTTTTCCGGTTTAAAATACATTAAACCCGTCATCATACTCTGCAATGGATGAAATATGATGATAAATCATTTAATGAATAACTGAGGCTTGACATTAGGAAATTGGAAGTACCACATATATTTATTACTTAGTTTTGCAAATAATAGCTTTTCATAAACTCCGCTCTGGGTTTGGAGAGGACTTTGATGTGACTCGTCTTAAATCCGAGCTGGTAGTTATTTATGCGATGGACGATTTTAAACACAAATGACCGATCAACATTTTGCATCACATCACTGAGAACAATCTAATCACTATATTGCCCCAGCTGTATAATTAAGCTTGTATCTTTAATATTGACCCTCCCTATATCTACAGCATCAATTGAGAGGTCGTTTTCTACACTAAAAAGAATAAAGACATTTAGTAGAAATAGTACCGGAGAAAACAGATTATCTGGTTTAGCATTTATCTCAATAGAGAGGGAGTTAACTATGAAAATGAAGCAAGAGAACATATTCCATGACTTGGAAAGGAGGATGGATTTCATTTTTAAGTACACTGTGCCGTACGCGTACAGATAAGCTACATGATTGTGAAATAATGTACAAAACTAAGCCAGCCTTATTAATAAGTACATTAAGTTCATTACTCTATATGTTTGAATTTGTTGTACATATACTTTTATATTAAAAAGAGCAATTCATACCGACATAATTGCTAAGAAAATAGTATGACTAAAAGTAATTGATTATTTTCAGTTCCATACAGTAGATCCTAGTTGATGATGATAGCAATCACAGTATCCAAGCATTACGTAAATCGAATCAACGACCATACAGTGTACAGCTTGCCTGCTATTTGGGTCAGTACAGATTTGGGTTGTCACAAACAACTTTCCCACGTGCTGAATGCTGACTAAGCTTACTGTAATGCATGCATGGTCATTAACCGTACAGGCACTCGGTGTTAATTATGGAAGAACACATCAAATAGCGCAATAATATCACTTTTCCACGGATAATTGCCGACAACTATTCAGTACTGCAACTATGGAGGTGGAGGTACAACAAATAAAAGGCCAAACGTTTCAATATTGACTTGATTCATTATAGTTTCTTATTGTATCAAATTTTGTCTACTAACTTAGTAGTACTACTAGGGCCTAGTCTTTATATTCTGTACTGCAATTTTGGAAAACGTGAATAGGCTACACAGTACAGCAGTACTTTACTAACAAGATAGACAGTAACTACACAGATCACGCTTCCTCACAGTGTATTGAAGAAGGTTGAAAGTGTCAATACCACGTGTAAACAATACACATACTCTAATGAATAATATTACATATATCCATATTCGGGCTTACCTCAAACAGTTGTGGTATCTCCTTCTTCGCGAGATACGTTTTAGTTTTTTCCCTAGACGTCATTTTGTCTGTATGTTTTCCAAACCAACTTTCTCGTGTTGTCTTTCTGTCTCGTCTCCAGGTAAACACGATATGGTAATGAGTAGGCGGGGTTTGTTTCTTGCGTAGCAACTTGATTGATTGATTGATGGATTGATTGATTTAGACCTAGGAAATGGTACATTGCCGACATTTTATGAATTGCAATTGATAACCAACAGAGGAATACAAGTAAATATGTGGTAAAGATTATTTAATTATTGTTGTATATGAAATGAAATTGTATAAAGTACCGTTTTGAAAAGTTAAACCAAATAGGCTATATATTATTAGCGTCTGTATTAATTGCATTCAAAGTCTAACTGTACCATGATAACGCTGGTGGCGCTACAAAGGGTAAATAAAATAAATGACCCCATAAATAAACAGCGCGGTGTTCGGTTTCTTTTAGGCTCCAGCAAATTTACAATATTTTAAATAATCTCTAATCTAAACCACAGCAATATATTGCACCTTTAGATTATTTATGAAAACGTCATATCAAGGTAAGGGATATTTTTTTAAGTTCAGAATGGGTAAATATTACACAGTAATACAGTATTTTAATATTTATACTATTTTTACGATTGAGTGCACAGATTTCAAACTTGGCGGGGCATGACACCGTGATAATTCGATTGTTTCTGTGCACCGAGTGATGGCAAATGTGGGCCTAGCAAAATATATCCAGCTGTTGATAGATAAACGCCATGGAGCCCTACCAAAGTGCTTGCAGTTATTGAAATAGCCTGATGCCAGAGACAAAACAACAAAAAAACACCACACGATTTTTCTGGGTCTAGAAAAAAAAAAAAAAAAACTAGCCTAGGCCTCTAGGCCCATATAATAATATTAATAAATAATGTATAGGCCCTAGGCCTAATGTTAATAAATAAATAAATAATAAGCCTTGAGTCTAAGCTAGGGCTGGCCTCACACTTTTTATTTTTAGGCCTACCTAAAAATCAGAAAAAATGTACTAAATATTAACAAATTTACAGTACTAACTTACAGTATATTTATACATATCTGCCAACAATTAGCATGATTGAGGATGATGATGAGGAATTATCCATGATTATACGGTAATGATATTCAAAATAACAAGATTGAAATTGTTTTTTAATCAAAGTAATTATCAGTATTTGTCGAAAGATGTAATGCTAAACTAACAAAATTTCTGCTTTCCATGCACCATAATATGTGATCAAGAATAATAATACAACTAACATGAAAATGCAACTTGGAAGTAAAGGTTCAAATTCCAATGAAAAAATACAAATTTTAATATTGATAATGTGCCTGCCACTACAGATAAACTAACATTTTTTTTGCTTACAGTATTTTTCTTATGTCATGCATAGGTAGTGGAAAGTTTCTTCAATTTAAATCCGCTATTCATTGCATCAGTCAAGTTTTGCTTGTCTGCTCACTGTCTGCAATTAATTGATCTATGTATGTGTGATATGGACAACAGTATAATTCTTATTGGTTTTATGCTCTTCCAGTAAACATTGACAGCTAAAATAACAATAATATTTTATTTAAATTTCACGATATTTCAGTAAACATTGTGAACTTATTTTACCTTTGATTTTATTGAATTAATATTCAATGAAGAGGAATACAAGTTTTTGCACTTCTACATGAATGAATGGAATCAATTAAATTTCTTTGATATGCTTATTTGTAGGATTCCAATGGCAACTTTGATAAGAAAACGCCCTCTCGAAACGCCACCGGCACCAGAAGGTAGGTCTGACTTTACTGGAATTCAAAGATGCTCATCCAGAAGGCATGCAGAAACATCAGAATATGTGAGTAAGCGGGTGAAGAGGCAGAATTCAAACAAAATGCGAAGAGTTCCCTCTTTCAGGAGGAGGCAGTTAGGAGCTATGAGTTCACATGCTAGAGGTGAAAACTACGTTTATTTATAGATCAGATGTTTGAGATAAAAATATATTATTTTCCTTTGAATTTGAAACAAAAGTTTTGATTTCTGTTTAATGCTCCAAGTACAAGTAGGTCATTTACCTATTAAAGTTTCCCTGAAAATAACCTAAACATTTTATTATTTTAGTATGTACAACTTCTAATGCTTCTTGTTTTTTGGTTTTTTTTGGCAAAATTTGTCGTGTTATTGTTAGCTTCCAATAGTATATCATCATCTACTGTCCTAAAATATGGTTAATTCTTTTCTTCTGTTACATCTATTTAAAAAAATATGTGTAATACAGAATAAAATAAAGCACAGTATCTTTTCAAACCTCTCTCCAAAGTTCTACCTGTTGACTTTACATTTTCCAAATATGTACATCAATCACTCATCATTTTTGCTCTATAGCTGATGCAATTCTTCTGTTACTCCTCTAGCATGTAATCAATAGTTAAATATGTGATAAATTTCTACTATAATAGGTGCTTTTTTAAAAGAATGTGTTCATTTTACTAGGTCAGCTGAAGATACTGATCAGCCAAGAGAAGTCTGATATATCTATCAATAGTAAGATTACATTTCCTTTATCTTTCCTTGTTATTTAATTAGGTCAATCAAGCCATTTATATCCTATTTTGGTAGACACTAACTTTCAATTCTCTCTGTATTCATTTCAAAAGCCATCATATCAATGGTTATTGTCTACAATATTCAATGAAAGTTTTACAGACTAATTATTGTTTAATTATGATTGATATTATAACAAACAATATAATATGCATCTTAATATGAATTCCCTGATACTGTATTAATATTTTTATAATGTTTGTTTATTAAACTCAGTGTTAAGACAATTTTATCTCCTCTGACATTTCACTAGGAAAGTTAAGAAAAAACATTATTGAAATTATAAAAAGATTTTGTTTTTTGCTCACGCCGTACTACCACTGTTGGTGTATATATTGTTTACAGATAACATTTAGTGCTGGAACTATGCATTTTATCAAGACAGTTTTCATGGTCAGAGGCACAATTTTTTTTCCTCAGGCCTGCCGAACATTTCACAATAAGCCAAGTATTTATAAAATATAAATGGTCACATTTACATACATGCCAATTGTTTTGTACTTGACAATGTAATACTAAGTAATTGAAACTAATGTTTTCACTCTCGCTTATACTTTTGCTTGTAATATTAATTTAACCTATTAAACACAATCAACATATTACAAAAATATTAAAAATTATTAATAATGACAAATTATTATTTCTAATAAATTCTGTTACTTTTGTTAATGCATCAGTGATGTAGAATGTAAACAATGTTGTGTTTTTATAGTGTCATTGTCGAATGTAAATGATGTTATTTCCCTGTGTGGTGATGTTGATTAATGTTGATGATATACTTCCTGTTTCAGTAATTCAGGCCAGGAAGCTAATGTCCTCAGGCAGAAGTGTCTGTAATCCATACGTGAAAGTAAGTATGCTGAGAAAGCATGTATCTGGATTCTCTTACTGAGATTATCCTTCTTGCTTTTTTCATCATTCTCATTCGGGTAAGAGTATACTCAGTAGCTTTGTGTAATTCAATTTAATTCTTTATTGGTCTTTTTTTTTTGTATATTTCTAGCTTGGGAATAAGGCCTTGAGTAAGGGCTAAGTTAGATTAAGTAAGGTACTGGATTAGGATTAAGTCCTTATTGTTAAGTCTAGGTACCTTGGTCAGGCTAATCTATTTTAGTAATAGCTAGGCTCTTGTATTTGGGCTGTAGGACTGGGTTAGTATCTAGTTACTGAAGTTCTGCCAAGAGTTACTATATGTCACAGTTATTGTCTTGCGCTAGGCAAGACTTGACCTGAACAGGGAAATGAACACCCCTGCCCAATGGTGAGTTTCAGGATCCTTGTGGCCTGAAAGGAGAGTACCTGTTGAGGGCCCCACGTTGGGTGACATGTAGTCATCTTTCTTTTTTAATCTTGTCAACAAAAATGGTATCTCTCAATGGCTGCATATATGTCAACCATTCTTATGGTCAATGACAGCCAAGTGTTAACAGCGGCCATTGCCGCCCGTGCCCTCTCAGTTGGCCCTGGTGCCCCTGAAAATGAAGCACGACGACAGCCACTACTTGCCTGCCCTTTTGCAGCCTTGGCCTCGGTGCCCTCATGATGCTTAATATAAATCGTTTGACACGTAAAATAAATCTAAATAAGAACGTTCAAATCTTGAAAGAAAACACGAAAGCCAAAAACGTAGGTCGCCTAGGCTAGCATAGGCCTAGGCTTAGATAAGGTTGCAGTGACAGAACATGAGAAAATTTCCATGTGTGTTGATACAAACTGTTTTTGCGGTTACCGTTGTGTGCGCATGCGCCTGACTCGAGTGGTAATTGCAGTAAACATGTGCTTGCTGTGCAGCTAGCTTTGGGCGATCTGACGTCATCGCAGCTCAAGCGTGTTAAATTAACTCGGCTAATCTAGTTGATGACGGCCAGTTTAGAGGTGTGGCCTCCTCTCCGATGACGACGCTCTGAGCAACAACATCAGATATTGAACTTCTTGAACTTTGACTGTTCTGTTTACGATTCCCGACTGCCCCAAAAATCTAAAAGTTTATTCCAACATTGAATCGATAATAGTTAATACTCTAAACAAAGTCATTTTACCATTGACAACGATGGCTTGGCTGGGCCTAGCTTGGCTTGGCCTAGGCCTAGCTTGTCTACGAATCAAGGCACTCGCGAGAGATTAGTACTGAGGCTAAATCAAACTTTGCCTTGGTGCCCTTTTATATTTGAAATTTTTGGCCTTGGTGCCTTTTCATTTGGCCTTGGTGCCTTTCAAAATCATGTCATACCGGAGGCCATTTGGCCTTGCCCATAAAATCCCCAAATTCAAGGCCTGTACTGTCTCTATTAAACAAATATGAATGTTTCACAATCTATCTGCAAAAATGATAATGATATTTGTTGTAGCATGTCTGCATGCTTTGGGAATAATTATCTGTAGTGCAGTACCCAGTTGTCAATTCCAAAACAGAATATTTGTAAGCATGAATACCCACAATTGATACCACAGTCGTAAGGGCACTGTATTACATATAATGCTTGCGTATAAAACTATAGATAGTTTAGCAGCAGCATTCAACAAGTTGGAATAAGGAAATAACGTATTATATTATATAAAATCATTATTGTAAATGTAGACTTTTTAATTTGTATTCAAATAATTCTGTATTCTCAGGTGCTCTTAAAAAATGATGGTATTAAGGGAAAGAGATCAAACTATGTTTGGAAAAAGACCAAACCAATGCAGAACAACAGAAATCCAAAGTTCAAGGAGCATTTTAATTTGTGAGTAAATCTTATTACAGTACATTAGTATATATTGTATATACAGAATCAGAATCAGAATATTTTATTATCTCCAAAAAAGAAATTACTGATGCTGTGTATGTTGATGTATGTACATATAATTAAAATTTAAGTTAAAAAACACCCATTAAAATGCACAAAAAACATTTAAAATACAGTCAATACAACTGTCAATTAAAATGCAAAAACAATTGCACAATTGACCAGTAACATACTGTATATACTCAGGTATAAGGCGATCCATGTATAAGACGACCCCGAGTTGGAGAACATTTTTGGACAATTTTTGTGTGTTGAGCTTATAAGACTACCCCCCCCCCCCTCCCCCCCCTCCATTTCACCATCGGAATTCCTCCTTTTTGCTGCTGTTTATGGTCTTGATACTGTATTTTGCTTGATAAAAACGGAGTCAAATGTAGGGCTAATCTTCCAAATAATACCATTTTATGGGCTTTTATGTTCGTCAAAATCTCCCTTGCATTTCCCTGCATTTAAAATTGCGTTTATTCATACTAACAGTTATTAGCTTCTTTGCTGTAGTGAATTTGCATGTTACTGACGTTCCGCAGATAAAACTATCATAATTAAAAAATTCTAAAATTTATATGTCACGTATAAGACAACCCCCTGTTTTTCGACTGTAATTTGCTATTTAAGCCTTGTTGTATATGTGAGTATATACAGTAAAAATTTTAATATAAACCATCTGTTTCTTATCTGGTCTTCGTTGAAATATCCCTTTCTTCTATTGACAAAGATGACTACTACACAGACAGCCTCTTGATAAGCATAGGCACGTGAATACTCAAGGAAATATTTGGATTTTGTACAGGATTTTCTAAATTTTTTTTTAATATTTGAAAACTTGGGGAAAAAAATAGCATATCACCCCTTTTCTTCCACTTTTAAATTTTAAAAAATCTGTATCTTATTACTCATACCCAATTATTTCTTCAAACACCCTTTCAGTGTCTTACAACATTTATTTGTTCAACATACAATATTTTCGCTCAGTTTTCTTTATCAAGTCTCATTTCAGGTATTTTGTAGGAAATGTTCTGGTGTGATAAACTTTTAATTTTTTATTTAGTGCTCTTAGAGAAACTTCACGAAATGGAAGGATTATTTTATCAGTGTACAATCGAATTGGAGCAAAGTAAGTACCATTTTGGAATGTAAATTCTAAATCTCTTTGTCTGATGAAGCTAACATAGAGTGCAAGTGAAAATGCTTGTGCAGTGAACTTTCAGCAGTTGTGTATATAAACAAGGTATACTGCATCTGTATTTTGACTAACACAACATTCAAATTTATTAGTAAATCGCATGTAATTTCATTTTTACTTGCAAATTAATTAGAATATTAAATATATTTAGGTATTGTTGATGTTGAATTGTTGATATTGACAATGTACTTTAAATACTGTAGAACTGTTTCATCGATAATAAACCAAGCACAATTTGTTGTAAACATTGAATAGTTTTTTTTTCTGGTAATCTATATTGTATTTGTCTGTAGAATATTTTGTAATTCTTATATTGTTATTTATTGCATTTATTTTGTAATTCTTGGTCAAATACTGTAAAACCTCGAATTGCATTCATTTTGAAAAGAAGCCCCTTTTTACTTTGCAAAAGTAGCCTGGAAAAGAAGCCCATCAAAGTTTGCAAAAAAAAGAAGCAGTCTAGGGCTTCAATCCGAGGTTTTACGGTACAACTACATAAATTTCATCAACACCTACATTAAGTTTTTTTCTTCCAGGAATGAGTTTCTAGGTTGTATGTCATTTGGTATTCAAAGTCTGTTAGCCAGTCATAAGGTATGTTATTGGTAACAAACAATAACAAATTTTTACATTTTGTACATTTCGTACTTGATATAGGCATAGTTAGAACTACAATTTGCCCTCTATTTCAAGACCACTTTGGGACCTGAACATTTTAGGTGGTCTTGGGATTTGGTCTCCAATTAGAGCCTAGTATTGTGTTAAAAGGTTGAAGATTGTTATTTGGTTCTTTGAAATAGTGGTTTCAAATTAGAGGTGTCTCGGAATTGGAGGGTTCTTCTAGACTTTCGTGGGCTATCCTTGGTGTTTACACCGAATAAATCCAATCCAATCCAATCGTGGCCAATCACTGAATATACCTTTGTCTGGATGTTTCCATCAAGAATGGACATCACTTTAGGTAAATCATCTAGAAAAGGAAGTTAGTTACTGTTGTTTGATTCTCTGTTAAAATGCTCATGTTTGATATCATTAGGAGATCAGTGGTTGGTATTATCTGCTTGATCATGATCTTGGTGTCAGGAAGCATCAGCCTGTGGCAATCCAGAGGACAAGATCTCGTCTTGGCAGCACATCCAAAATGAAACCAAAGTTTGTGAGTATTTTTAATGTTGTAAACATTTATTCAGACTATAAGCTTCCATCGGTATTGTTTTTAGTCCATGTAATTATGGTCATTATTTTTTTTTTATCATTTACATAGTTTTTGTCATTTTTATCAAGAAAATTTTCATGATTATTATAATAATATGCAAGTTTTATATAGCACATCATGCCAGCAAGGCCGCTATCCATTCCAAATTATTGTTAATATTTCAGCTAGTAGGCATTAGTGTATGAGCTTTCTAGATACCCACTTGCACTCCTGCTTGGAGAGAGACAGAGATAAAGTGCCTTGCCCAAACACACTAAAAAAGGCAAGCAAGGGAATTTTACGTCCAACCTTGAAGTTTGAAAGCCGATATTGAAACTGATCATTGTATTAGTCATTATTGTCAGCAGTTGCAGCATACATATCATCATCATTGTAACCATTGTTTCCATTTTAGTTGATAGCATTATTATCTTTTTTATATTTTCGATACATTTTCTTTTGTGTTCCAGTTGACCATTGAACGTGGAGATGATGGCAGGTATGGGTTCACGTTGTTGGATACACTTCCAGTTCGTGTCAATGTCATTGTGCCAGGTAAACCAATAATAGTCTTTTTAATATACCATATTTTAATAAATTTAAGTATATGTTCAAGTATAAGTCCAATTCCTGGTTTAAGCTTAATTTCAGATTCTAGCCTTCATATCAACAATTGAATGCCTTTGGATGGTTCAGGAGAGACTAGCATTGCAGTTAGGAGTCCAGACATAATGTCCAACCATAAAGAAGATCTGATCTTGAGAGCACTGCCTAATCCTAACTATCATCACCATAAGCTCACATGTGTCAACATTTTCAAGGATGTGGCACCTTTTTATTGTTGAAGGCTGGATTCTCCAGTCAGTTGCAATTTCATTTCCTACATTTTTTTCACTCTACAGCTATTCTTAAGAAGCCATCATAACTTTTCCTAGGCCTAGTTGTTTGCCAATTAAGACTATCAGAGGCAGGCTGCAAACTGTGGGTATTTCTCCATGCGTAATAAAACACACCTGACCATTTCCCACTCCCAAATTAAACATTCTTGTGAGCATTTAAATTACTGTGGAAATATGTTGATTTGTGATGTGATTAATAATGTTATTTAATGTTTAATGTTGAATTCATTTAGGTGGTCCTGCTGAAAAGGTTGGGCTTCAGAGTAATGATCTTTTCTTGGAACTCAATGGCTTCAATGTGGTAGGAAGCAGTTGCAAGACCATTGTTGAACTGATTGCGTAAGTGTGCTTACATTAATGGTATTAAAATAATACGGTTGATTAGACTGGCCGAGAGGAGTCCAGCTGGAGGGTTTACACTGGGTTTTCCCCCAAGTATTTCGTTTAGCACGTGGTAGGCCTAGTGTGGGCATGCCTATTTCGGGTCATCCCTTATTACATTGGCCGACCCCTTGCCCGTCCCACGAATAAAAACGTCTCTCACAGCCTTGTGGTCTAGTCTTAGATTTTTCAACTTTGTCACAACAATTGCCGATGTTATGCTATTGTGGCCTAAGTCCCGCATTCTCTCTGCTATCCTTTCGTGGACACCAGCCTTCTGACGGTACAATTTATTTTCAACTTTTTCTGCAATTTCTGGCTCCCTCCAGATATCTATTAAATCACATTCCTGTGCATACGTCCAGAGATGGGTGCCTTGCCCAAACACACTAAAAAAGGCAAGCAAGGGAATTTTACGTCCAACCTTGAAGTTTGAAAGCCGATATTGAAACTGATCATTGTATTAGTCATTATTGTCGGCAGTTGCAGCATACATATCATCATCATTGTAACCATTGTTTCCATTTTAGTTGATAGCATTATTATATTTTTTAAATTTTCGATACATTTTCTTTTGTGTTCCAGTTGACCATTGAACGTGGAGATGATGGCAGGTATGGGTTCACGTTGTTGGATACACTTCCAGTTCGTGTCAATGTCATTGTGCCAGGTAAACCAATAATAGTCTTTTTAATATACCATATTTTAATAAATTTAAGTATATGTTCAAGTATAAGTCCAATTCCTGGTTTAAGCTTAATTTCAGATTCTAGCCTTCATATCAACAATTGAATGCCTTTGGATGGTTCAGGAGAGACTAGCATTGCAGTTAGGAGTCCAGACATAATGTCCAACCATAAAGAAGATCTGATCTTGAGAGCACTGCCTAATCCTAACTATCATCACCATAAGCTCACATGTGTCAACATTTTCAAGGATGTGGCACCTTTTTATTGTTGAAGGCTTGATTCTCCAGTCAGTTGCAATTTCATTTCCTACATTTTTTTCACTTTACAGCTATTCTTAAGAAGCCAACATAACTTTTCCTAGGCCTAGTTGTTTGCCGATTAAGACTATCAGAGGCAGGTTGCAAGCTGTGGGTATTTCTCCATGCGTAATAAAACACACCTGACCATTTCCCACTCCCAAATTAAACATTCTTGTGAGCATTTAAATTACTGTGGAAATATGTTGATTTGTGATGTGATTAATAATGTTTCAATTCATTTAGGTGGTCCTGCTGAAAAGGTTGGGCTTCAGAGTAATGATCTGTTCTTGGAACTCAATGGCTTCAATGTGGTAGGAAGCAGTTGCAAGACCATTGTTGAACTGATTGCGTAAGTGTGCTTACATTAATGGTATTAAAATAAAAGCTATACTTTTGGGTACAATAAAAAAAAAAAGCCTTGCGTAAGTGTACTTACTTTAATGTTCTTAAAACAAAAGTTATACTCTTGGGTAAAATCTGAATAAAACCTTTCAGAAATTGAATAAAAGTAAAGGGATCAAATTGACTGGAACTGTAGTTTGGTGAGTGAGATAATAATAATAATAGTGTAGTTTTATATAGCGCACATATCCATCTAATGTAAGATGCTCAGAGCACTTGATATGTGGTCTAGGAACTCGATCAATGACTTTCTTTGCTCCTAAGGGTCCCTTCGTGTCTGTGCTACCCGGTAACCCGGTACCAACAACTCTCGTCGTCCACAAACAGGGGCTGTCTGTTCCAGTACACCGGGGTACCCCCTACTCATCTCGAAGGATGTACTGGGTTCTTTATAGTGCACACGAGCCATTGTATACACTGGGCCTACGGTTTATAGTCTTTATCCGAGAAGACTTGTTCTACCACCAGAACGAAAGGCGAGCGTGCTGTTCGAACCAGCGCCGATATTATGGCTATAGCTTGCGACGCCCCTGCTAACCGCTCGGCCATTCGACTCACCTGATGTTGGTCTGCTAATCCGAGGAAACTAAATTCAAATCCTTCCAAAACATCAGTATGTGTTTTTCTCATCACCAAAACAACCCCACAGCCTAGGCCTCATAATTAATGTACAGCATCATGTGTATATGTTAGCTAGGTTCATATGGGATTATAGCCAGCTGAAGTAGCTAATCTACTTGCCAAGTTAATTGGATTAAATCCACTAATCGCGTTCGACGTTAAGGTTAGAGTGAGTTATTTTGACTACCAGAATTCGAAAAACACATCATTAGACAGGAAGTAATCGCATGGTGGGTAATTACTGTTGATTTTCGCGCGACTAGTTTATGCTAGATTGAGAATATAGGCGTAAGCTAGGTCTAGGTCTCGGCGGTTGATTAGACTGGCCGAGAGGAGTCCAGCTGGAGGGTTTACACTGGGTTTTCCCCCAAGTATTTCGTTTAGCACGTGGTAGGCCTAGTGTGGGCATGCCTATTTCGGGTTATCCCTTATTACATTGGCCGACCCCTTGCCTGTCCCACGAATAAAAACGTCTCTCACAGCCTTGTGGTCTACTCTTAGATTTTTCAACTTTGTCACAACAATTGCCGATGTTATGCTATTGTGGCTTAAGTCCCGCATTCTCTCTGCTATCCTTTCGTGGACACCAGCCTTCTGACGGTACAATTTATTTTCAACTTTTTCTGTGATTTCTGGCTTCCTCCAGATATCTATTAAATCACATTCCTGTGCATACGTCCAGAGATGGCGTTTCTTTACTGACTTTTCGGCCATGATTTGCAAAATAAGACTTGTTGAAATTAAAGTACAGTACACAGATCAGGGAGACTGCGTCAATTCTGAATGGTGTTTATGATAGCATGGAAGCATGGAAGGTCACTTTGCTTCAATTTGATTGGTGTATTCATGACCTGTGGCCACCCGCTGTTTAATTGTTTACTGGCTTTAGGCTGGGTTAAGAGGTTAGTCGACATAAATTTACTCGACGGGCTTAGTCAAGTTGTGGCCTTCATCTCGCCACACTTGAGCGGTCATACTCAAACTTATGGCGAGATCTTCTAGCTCATCCACTAAAATTATCTCGCCATAGTTGGATATGAACGGGGCTGTTGTCTTGCATTATTTAAATTGTCTTGTTTGAGGGCCCCAATGGAAAGCAGTGTCTGACACAGATTTTATTTGACCCTCATTAAAGATGATTAAAAAAAGTTATCAACTTTTAATTAAACACACCTCAAAACAATTTGGTTTTCCAAGATTTATGGATATTTTATTAGAAATATTTATAAATTCATTACCAGGCAATAAAAAGATTCATGCAAACTGGATTATTTATGTGTCTGTTAATTGGCAAGAAAAATATTTCGTAAAATATTTCTAAATTAATTTGAAAAGCAATTACTAAAGTGTAAGCAATTTGACTGTTGAATTAAATAAAAAAATTTTTAATAATATTAATATTCTTTGTCTGCTTATTACCTTACTAGAGTGCTGTGCCTGTGGCATTGGCTACCATGCTATTCCATTTATTTTGGTCCTTGGTGCTATGTTTCAGTACTGTCCATTTAAATGATTCCCAATAGTGTCCAGATAATTTTTTCTGAATGACCTCTGTTTTTTTTCCCATTTATTTTTCTAATTATACTTTCCTTCTAATTTTTCCCATCTCATTACATTCCCAAAGAACATTTATTAGGTGTCTTTCTGATGTTGTTTTATTAGATGCCTTCCTGTATCAGCTTTTTATGACACTTGGTCATTGAACATGTGCAGTCCATGGAATCTTCAAAATTCTCCTAAGAATCAACACCTCTACAGCCTCTAACCTCCTCTTTATAGCTTTGATAATAGTTCAGGATTCATAACTGAAGAGTAAGGTTGACTAGACATAAGTTGTAACACTCAGTTTATTCTTTCAAAGTACTGCTTATTTTATTAAGGCATTTTTTTGCAACTGGCAATTCTAGTCATAATTTTAGTATCACACTTTCTATCTGCCTTTATAATGCTACCAAGATATTTTGTGCTCTTGATGTCTTCCTTGGCCTCAGTACTTCTTTCACTTGTGCAGTGAAGAGAGCATTTTGCCTTGCCTTCCCTCAACCACTCAGTATTGCTCCTCACCTATAACTTCTCTAATTTTCTTAGTTATCTTTACTCTTATTGCTCCCAGGATTATTTTTGTTACATGACTTCAGACCTTGATTTAAAGAAAAAGCAGGAGAGCTACTAACAGCTCTCCTCAAGAAATTGAGGAGAGCTGTTTTTTAGCGACAAAATTTGGTCAAACGGCCAAATTTTAGCACTAGGCCTACTGTTACTGTCTGTTGTTACAC